TTGCATATTTCACCCTTGAATGACATGATGAATTTTGGTCTGTCTGAGGAAGGTGATGATGGCAGTGAAACCATAGCCATACAGAAGGAGTCAGCAATAACCCTCACAGTTAGATGTTTCCTTTGGACACTCAGTTTCATGGATGAAGTGACTGAGGTTTGTAGAAATAATAATCTGCTCAGAAAATATGTCCTCCAAAAATCTAGCATTGCCTCCAGCTGACAGTTCTGATGATGTTGTGCCTGCTTCCTCATCCTCTGTGCTCTATGTGCAATCTTTTTACATTAAAATCACATTTATCTCTCATATCTCTGCCTGCCTCCTCCAATGTATTACATTTTATGAGGAAGCCTGTGTTACTGTGAGCTAAGCCATGTCGCCCCATGTGTGTACAGGGGACAGCGCTGAACACAGCGGAGTATTAAGGATTCAGCTCTAGAACTCCAAAATTGTGGCTGTTGATGTAATAAATTTCAGAGTATCCCTGGAAGTGTACAGCCACCACACATAACTCATCAGCCCTTGGAGGCAATTGCAGGCAGGTCTGGTGGTTTCTGCATCTTCTTAGCAGCGTTGCAGAGGCAGGAGCTAGTACCCAAGGCTGAGGAGCCATGAATCTGCACCAACCACCTTTGAATTAACACAGTGTCCTCAGTCTTAGGGGCATGACAGGAAAGGGATTTGAGGGCCTCTGTGTGGTGGTCAGCAAGGACTTAAAAGGCATGGAGTACAGACCCCAAAGGATGCTGCATGCTTCTGTTACCTGCAGCATGCTGCCTCCTCTCTAAAACTCAGATGTGCCCTGATAGGTGGCTCTCAGATCAGTGCTGAACCATCCTTTGTTGCTCATCACTCACCTGCTTTTTACCTAGAGTTTTGCTGCAGCTAAGGGGTTTTTGTTGTGTGTATTTATTTCTATGGGGGTACAATCATTCATGAGCAAATGCAGGTGTCTCAGAAAAAGCTGTTTTTCCTGCTCTGTGTTATCCTATTTGGAATGAAGCATTCACAATGTGGCCCTCACCTTCTCTGGTTAAACCTTAGCACCTCAAGGAAGAGCTCCCTGAATAAACAACCCATATCTGCCATGCTGCCGCAGATGGTGTCAGTATGGAGAAGGCAAGAATTCTGACATTTGAAAATAAAATGGCTGATGTACAGACGTGTCTAGAGTTGTGGTACTCCCTCCATGCCTACCTGCCTCGCACTGCTATTACACTCTGTTCTAGGCAGGAATCAGTGCTGGTTGCTGTGTTTGCTCTTGTGTGTATCATTGAGCAGGATTCAGGACAACAAATAAGAAGAATGAACTGATTTGGCAAAAAATGTTTAGGTATGAACTGCCTATCTACATCTCTAAATTTCCTATTGCAAAAGGGAAGTGAGTGCTTTATGAAGAACTGATCAAAACCAGCAAAATCTGAAACTGGTCTGCTTGCATTTTATTCCCCAGTGTCAATCCCAGCATAGCAGACCCTGAGGAAGAAAAGGAAGGACACTTACAGTCTTCCAGAATAAAGGTCAGCTAATGGTGCAGCCAGGGAGGATGCTCTGGTGTTGGGAACTGAACAATCCTTGTGCTGGCAGTGCTGTTATCAACCTCCCTGCACCCCTAAGTCCAGAGGAAGCCAGGAGAGATTGCAAGGGAGAGAAAAGGAATAGCTACAGCACAAAATGTCATGCCCATCCCTACAGAAGCCATCAGAATGTCTCCTGGCAGGAGCTGTCTGCATGTCACCTGTGATCCTGCACCTCAGAGCCTGATGCTGGGAGTAGTTTGTGGGTGCAGGCAGGATAGGCATCTGTCTGCTGCAGGGTCTTTGGTGGCCACAGCCCACCCAAGAGCTTGTGCTGCTGCTGGAGCCAGAGCCTCATTTTGCAGCCAGAGTGCTGGAGAGACAGATGGGAGATGGCTGCATGTCAGCTCTGATATTTTGCCGTCAAATGTCAAAGTGTGTCTGTGCAAGCCTGTCCTCCCACAGCAGCTTCTGTGCTGACGTGAATTGTGTGCTGCTCAGCAGGGTATGACAGCAGACGAGTGCTGGTTCTGGGAGCCTGCTCCAAGCAGCCATTTCCCAGAGGCAGCAGAGACCTGGTGCTTCAGCAGTGAAGTGCTCTGCCATCACAGTCTGTGTCTCCAAAATTATGCTTTTCAAGTGGTTGCATTGTGGCAGCACTTGAAATATAGCAAAGCCTGGTGGAGAGATGTGATCTGAGCATTACAATCAGATACAAGAGCAGTAACAAAGGTGGGGTGGGCTCCATAAGTAAATAGGCACTGGAAGACCAGATTTTTACCCAAAATGTTGGTGAGGTGGGAGCAGGAAGACAGGATAAGCTTCTGCTGAGTTTAATAGAAATAAACTCAGAGCTTCTGTTATGCTATCAGTGGTGCACAGAGTTCAAATTGGGCAGGAACACCCCTCCAGCGTGTGTGTATGTCTGTGTCTGTGTGTGTGTGTGTGTGTGTGTGTGCTCTCAGGGTCAGGTGCTGCTGTTATCCACAGTGGCTCTTGAGCAATGGGATCTTAGGAATCCTTGATGAAGAAAATATGCCCTCAGGATCTGGGATGAGTAGAGACCAGCCTCTGTGGCAGCAGCCGTGGGAAAAGAACCAAAGGCTTGTAAGACAGAGAAGACACTGAAAAGGGTGTAAAGGCTGATAGAGGTTTTAGGGAGACTACAGGTGAGGAGGAGTTTAGGGTTGCACAGTTTGTATTTCAGTTGGATGTCCACCACCTGGTCCAAGTGGTCCTCTTTTCCTCAGAGCCTAAACCTGGATGAAACATCCCAGGAGAAGCAGACATGTAGGTGAGTGTCCTGGCCATGTAAGTCTCTGGTAGCATCTACCAGAAGGCCTGTCTGTTCTCTGACACCAGTGTTAGCATTAACTTTAGCATTTTTGGATGTTTATTGCAAACATTAGCTCTGTGTCCACCTTTGTGTTTTTATTTCCTGCCAGCATCATTCTGTGTCTGTGAGAAGCACTAGGGTGTGTGGGAGGAAAGTACTTATTTTGATCATTTTCATCATCTTCTAATTGCTATTCTTATACCTTGAGGCTGAAAGAAGTGAAGTTCCTTATGTTTCCATCTAGCTGTCTCATTGCTTATACTCTTGTTCTAACTTCATTTAACCCACATTTCTCACTTTCCCTCCTGTGCTCCCACGTGCCTTTGCAAGTCTCCTCCAAATCAATTATCACCCCACACTAACAAATGCTGAGGTAAGGTAGACAAAAGCCACTATCAGTACCACTTTCTGGAGTCTGAAGGTCAGTGGTGGGGCCCTAGAGTCCAGAGCAGGATCCCAGGATATAATTTTCAGGGTTCAGTGATCACTGGGGATGCCTGGATGAGTTATGGAATGTGTAATGCTGACCAAGGGTGCTTGTGCCAAGGTTTTCAGAACAAGTGGTTGATCTGTGAGAGCATTAGGTCATTTTTTTAATCTCTCAGACTCATTCTAGATCACTGTTCTCTTTTGTGGTGTTTCCCTGTCCTTGCTGCCTTAGCTGCCTGCCCAAGCCCTTCTCTGTGTTGGATTATCTGATCTGTAGAAGGGAAGGCAAGAGAAAAACTCCCTCCAGACTTGTGCTGGAGGTGCTTGTAGGCTGGACCTTGGCGTTAGGTGAGGAGGGAGAATTGGGTTTGTCCTTTGCTCTCCTGTGTCAAACAAGCACTGGTGAACATCTCCAAGAAAGATCAAGATAAAGTCTCTCTACAAGAGACACTTTTGACACAAGCAGAGAGCGATGGGACAAGAGGGAAAAACTTTAAACTGAAAAATGACATATTTAGATTAGATATTAGGAAGAAATTCTTTACTGCGAGGGTGGAGAGGCACTGGAATGGATTACTCGGGGAAATTGCCTATCCCTGGGGGTGCTCAAGTCCAGATTGGATGGAGCTTTGAGAAACCTGGTCCTACGGAAGGTGTTCCTGCCCATGGGAGGAGGGTTGGAACAAGATATTCATTAAGGTCCCTTCAGCCCAAACCGTTTTGTTATCCCTCTGGCTCTGTAAGAAACTACTGTTTACTGAATACAGGGAGGGTGGGGCTCTTAGTGCCCTGCCTGTGCAGTGCTTTGCCTGTATGGCTACTGGCACTGTGGCAGTCACACTGTTGTGAAGTGCAGCAGGTAATAAGCAGGTGGATGACACAGATAATGTGGCAGAAAGATATGATCCCCTCCCAGACCACAGCAGGGACTAGTCTGAGCTGAGGTTTCACCACCAGCCAAAGGTCAGCAAAAGTTAGTGTATTGTATGGGACCTATTTGACCAATGCCTATGGCTCCCCATGGTCCCACTGAAGCCATCCACTCCTTTTCACTGGAGAGACCCTTGCGTACAGAAGTATTTGTATACTTTGGCATGGTACCCTGGCACCATTAAAAGGGCTCAGGACCTCATGGGGTCTCCTGGATTTTGGAGAGGAATGACTGTTGCTGCTTTTATGCTCCAGTCTGCTCCTGCTTTCCAGTCTCTTCCGGGACATGTTTGTGTGTCTGTTGCAAGATGTTGCCATGGTTGGTTCTTGAAAGAAAGTTCAGTGTATCTTAAAGGAGGCAAAGATGTTCAATCCAATATGAGAAGACAGACTGCTCTCATCAGAGTGCAGTGCTTCACTTCCAGACCCTGAGCTGTTTTCCTGTGAGCACACAGTGCCATCTGCAGTGAGGTTTTCTTTGGCCCAAATCCCATACAGCCCTTTGGCCTCTTGACTGAAATCAGTTACTCTCTTCAGATAACTTTGAGAGGGGTCAGGTGAAATCACAAGTGTTGTCCCAGGAGCCTGCATGGAGGGTGATGTGTTTTTGGTCCCTTGTGATGGTTTGTTTCCCAGAAGAAGGACCTAATGCTCAGGGACTTGTGCTGACAAGGAACCAGTCTGGTTGATCCTTGTCAACACATGAAATCTTCAGTCAAACCACGGATGCTTTAAATAGTCACTGCCTTTCCTGAGAGGTGTCTTCCTTTGTGATTTTGTCTCTGTAGGTATCTGAATTCCCTCATGAGAAGTGTTCCTCCTGCCTCTCATGTGCAGCCCTACCTCTTCATGGGTGGTACCAGCTTCACTGATGCCCTGAAGAGTATTCCTCACCATGGATAGTCCACCCAAACTGACTGGTGAGACGCTGATTGTCCATCACATTCCCCTGGTGCATTGCCAGGTCCCCGATAGACAGTACTGCTCCATGAGCAAAAGGACCAACCCCTTCTGCCAGCCAGAGCTCAGCATTACACGGACCTCTGCCCTTCCAGACAGAGACCTATCACAGACTGACTCCTTGGTGTACAGCAGTTTTCTTCAGACCTCTGAAACCTCAGCAGAGGCTTCAGGTCACAAAGAAAGAAAAGCAAGGGATCTGATTGTCCCTAGTGTCAGTAAGCGACACAACCCTTTCCTTCTGAGTGAGGGTGAAGACCTCAGTATTTTTGGGGATGACTTGGGTCAAAAATCTTTCCACCTTCACAACTCACTCGTGGATGGCAAGCCTCCCTTCAATCTGCAGGATCTGGCCTTGCCCCCTTTCCACCTCCATGACTCCAACCACATTGTGAAATCCTGGAACATGGCCAGCCGGTCTGGTGTGGTGGACGGGCAAGAGGACAAACTCAGCAGTGATGACATCCAGAAGAGGAACAATGTTAACAGGTGCCATCAGGCCTCGGAATGCATGGAGCTGGATGAATGCAGCTGCCATCATGGCAGCTCCTCCAACTTCTCCTTTGACAGTGGTGACCAGGAATGGAATCAGAACATGGATGAACCACTGAGGAATCAGGATGCCCTGCACAGGACATGCAGTTGTTCCAGCTCAGAGATCCAACACTGTCGCTGCTACAGTTCATCAAGTCAGTCTGAAGTGATTGACCAACAGATGGGCTACATCAGTGACTCTTCTTGCAACAGTTCTGATGGGGTCCTGGTGAACTTCAGTGCTCTCTACAACAAAATGAATGGTCAGCCCCAATCCAGTCTGAATTCAGCTAACTTGTCCTGTGACTCTTCCTTCTGCAGCCACTCAGATACAGGAGCTTTTTACCTGGATTTACACTCATCACCCACTGAATCCAAGATGTCTTGTGAGTCGCATAACCCAGAAAGTTCAGGAAAGGTGTGTGGGTGTCAACATTCCTCCTCACCTGTCCTTGATGCTAACTGCAACTCCTACCACCTCCACTGTGAGCCTTGCACATCAGAGAGCTCAGACCTCACTGCCTGCTTCCAGAGCCAAGCACGGCTTGTTGTGGCTACTCAGAATTACTATAAGTTAGTCACGTGTGACTTGTCTTCCCAGTCATCCCCCAGCCCTGCGGGATCTTCCATAACTAGCTGCTCAGAAGACCAGACTAAGGGTAGCCCAGCCCAGCCCACAGAATACTATCTGTTCAGAAGGTCCAACCTGAGACAAGAAGGCAATGTAGAGTGCAGTGCAGAGGAGCCAAAGGGAGAATCCAGTCAGAACATGATTGAGGGTCAGGTCTATGTCAATGTGTCACCACCGAACCTCAACACAAGCCGGCAGCGCTCCAGGAGCTATGATCAGAATCTGGACAGGAGTCCTGGCAGCAGGCTGGGCTCCTTAGAGCGCATGGTGAGCTGTCCAGTCAAGCTGAGTGAAAGTCCAGCAATACCCATTCAGAGTTCTCCCCCCAAGAGGGTGACATCGTTTGCTGAACTGGCTAAAGGACGGAAAAAGAATGGCACCTCCCCACCACACCGCTCCAGTGGTGATTCTTCCCTGGAGTTCTCTCCCATCCCTGAGACACAGCGGGATTGCCCAACCTTCCTTGAAGAAAGAGCTCGGCGTAGCCAGAGTCTTCCACCCATGCCCTTCATCCATGGCCTGAATCGGAGCTGCGAGGGCTTTTATTTGAATCATGCTTTTGGGGACAGCCAGGCTTTGTGTTCCACCAAAGACTCCATCTCCAGTGAGAAGGTCCCCAGTGGGCATGGGGCAGGTGAGCAAGCCTCTCTCTCCCTGCTGACGGAGGCAGATGCCAGCTTCTCGGGTGGTTCTGCCAGTGGCCACGGACAAAAAGATGTTAGAGCCCGAGCAGACGGTAAGGAGCCAAACTAAGCAGAAGGGAGAAGTAAAAAGGAAGGCAGCTCGTTGGGATAAGAGGGGAGCAGCAAGGAAACCTGCATGGTGATAAGAGACCAGTGTTGGGGCAGTTTGGTTCCTGGTCTGCCAGTCCTTGGGACAAAGCCTTGCTGTGCTTTGTCACAAAAGCCTTTCAGTCTCATATCAGGGCAAGTGTCTTGTCTTTGTATTTCTAAAGCCTTCTGAGGTTTTGTTCATACCTCTCATGTTGTGTTAGCAAGGACATGGCATTAATACTGAGAGAGTGTGTGTAGATTGTAGGGTATCCCTTCCAGGGTATTTACTGTGCTTGTCCATGAGAATCACCTGCCGTTAGCTCCCAAGACAGAGATGTTAAAATGCTCAGCAGGGTCCTAGTCACAGCCATTCATTTTTGGACTTATGTCGGGCAGAGGTGGAAGGGGAAGAGGTATAGCTAGCAGTCTCCTTTCCATACAGTTCTAGAAAGCTCACATAGTTTCTGCTAGGACTTAACAGTGTGAGTCCTGCAGAGTCTAATCTGTATGTCTCTTCTGGAATATCCTGATCATGTCCCCACAGTGCTGTCCATTGCACCAAAGGTTCCCAGCAGGAGCTGTCACAGTTACCTCTATGGGGAAACCTGTAATATGTGAATTGTATTCCACCTTGATATTGCCATCATTTGTTCTCATGAGGAAGCTGTGTAACGTTCCCTTTGGAAGTATGGCCATTTCTCCAGCACTGTGGGAGACCTCTGTCTCTGCACTAGGCAGGTATTATACCTGCTTCACAGGTAAAAGCCCTTCTAAAATGCCTCTAACCAGACCACTACAGTAAATAGCCCCTAGCATGTAAAAAAATTATTGTGTCTTAACAGACTGTCTCCATTTAATGTTCTGAAAATTTCTGGCAGGAGGTAAGAACATGTGGTTTATTGACATGGCAGGGGTAGGAACGATTTTGGCCTTTGGAGCAAAAGGTTTTAGTTATTGTCCTGTTTGTTTATTGAGCCTTGAATGTGTGCTTGGTGTGGGATGGCAGTGAAGGCAGGTCCCTGCTGGGAGAGGGCAGCATTGCAACAGCCCTCTTAGCTTCAGAGAGAGGGCTTGGAAGGAGCAGGCCCTGCTCAGGGAGGAGAGGGAAAACAGGAGCTTTCAGGGTAATATATCCCAGCAGTTGCTGCCCACAACACCAGTGGGGTCTCTCCTTCTGCACTGTGACAGCAAGGCAGGCATAAGGGTTGTACACAAGCTTCTGCCTGCAGCTGGAGATGTAGGTGTATCTGCTGTGCTCCAGCCCAGAACAGCATGCAAGCCTAGAGGCTCTGAGAGGGGCTAGAGGAAAAGCAAGCCCTGCTAAAAGCTGGCTACAGGGAGAAAGGTCTGGAATGCCCAACAGGCAGCGGGTACACCAAGATTGATCAGGGATCGCAGTCAGCCCCACATATGCACCCAGTCCTGTGTGTGTTCTGCACTGAATGCACAGTGTGTCACACTTCAGATGTGTCCCTCAGGATATTTGTGGCTCCATCAGGAGCTGGAGGCATGTAGATCAGCCTACCACACTCCCTCAGGACATCCTAGCACAGCATTTGCTGGAGCAGACTGGCACTTTCCAGTGTTGGAGGTGGAATGTTGGGAATGTCCTGTTTAGGTCTGGTAGAGGCACAAAGAATGAAGGAAGCTCTGTGTTCCAAAGTGGGGGCAGTTACAGGGAAACGAAGAGGGAGGGAGAAAGGGAAACAGGCAGCCTTTGGAACAGCACCAATATATTATGATTCAGGGTGCAGAGCTCTAGTGCTATTGCATGTAATGCTTGTGTTGGGCTGTGCAAGTCCACAGAGCATGTGGGAGTGGACAGTCCTTTGGGCTGACAAATCTGACTCTACTACAAAGTGTTGGGCCTTGACTTTTTGGTACTGCTTGAGCAGAGGCAGCTCCAGGGCAGGCGCCTGATCCCATGGTGCCTGTGCTGTCCAGGGGGCAAGAGATTGGGAAAGGATGTGAAGCTGGTGACACTACCAGGACAGCCAAGGTCCTGGTGCTGTGCTATGCTCTTCCAAACAGCTGGAAACTCTGCACTTGGGGCCACATATATTCTATCTTGCCAGCTCTTGATATATGTAACCAGTTCAGACTTGAACCACTCATGCAACAGAGAACACATCCCCTTTTGCTTATAATCTGCTTGGCTGAGGATGATTGTTGCTCTGCCCATTCCTCACACTTTCTTCCCCTTTTTCCTCCTGAAGGTGGTGGCACAGACAGCAAGCCTGTGGTACGCTACAGCAAGGACCAGCGTCCCACAACTCTGCCCATCCAGCCCTTTGTTTTTCAGCACCATTTCAGCAAGCCGCCCAAGGCACGTGCCCTGCACAGCCATTTTGCCTCCAGCCTTTCCCAGCTCTACAGCTTATCCAGCAACCGTGCTGCCAGCCAGCAGATCTCCAGTTCCCAGTGCTCAGCCTTGGCCACCTCGGCAGAGCAGGTGGCGGTGGCGGGGAGCAAAGCTCATGGCACGCTCGTGACCCAGCGCTCGGCAGACGGAGCTGCCTCGCGCGGTGATGGGGACATCAAGAAGCCTGGCCCTGAAACAACCCGCCCATCCCCGCTGGGCAGTTACTCCCCTGTGCGATGCAACGTGCCTTTCTTCCAAAGCGTGGACTCCTCTTCCTCGCCCACTGCAGAGAGAGCTGAAGACAGCCAGCCCCCCAGAAGCAGGTCCTGCCCCATCTCTGCTAACCTGCTTCCCACGAGGTCATCTCCTGCTGTCAGTGCCATGCAGCCCTCCAAAGCCACCAAAGCTGACACCCTGAGGAATCACCCCAAGTTGATTCCCAAGAAGGAGGCCACTGTGGAACCAAGCCCATCACTCTCCGAATACCGACTCCACAGTGGGTCCCTTCCGCCTCTCTCGGTGGGTGGCATGTCCATGAGCAGAGTAGGAGGCCATGCAGACTCACACTGGAGAAGTGGCAGTGAGACCAGCAGCTCTGGTCCCCTGAGCAGCATGGGAATACGGCCTGTCAATGGTAGGTACCCATCCTCCAGGTCCTGCTAGTCTGGAGCATTTACAGCTCCCAGTAGCTATGTCTGCTCCCTATAGTGCCACCATTTCCTATAGGCACATACCAGGACAAAATTGCATCTGGGTGCTGCAGGAAGACCTGCAATAAAAGCATGTCCCCCCAGTCCCAGCTCCTACACTGTGTCTCCACAGAGGGCAGTATGGGCTGCTGATCTTACAGCACCCCATGCCAGGTGCTTGCACCCCAAACCTGCTGCCTCTATGCCTGCAGCCACAAGGACACCCAAGCTCCTGCCCAGCTTTGCCAGGCAGTGGCATCCACCTGTCTCCACATGCATGTGCTAATGTCCTGAAATGCTGCTGGACCTCTGAGTAATGTGCTGTCTCTCTTTCTTTGTCCTACATCTTTCTCTAATCTCCCTTCCTGTTTCCCTTCTGCATCCTCTCATGTGCTCTCATCATCCTGTCTGGTGCTCACTGTCCACGGCATCCCAGCGAACCACCTCTCCCCACAAGCGCTGAAGTGGCGGGAGTACAGGCGGAGGAACCCCCTGGGTCTGGACCGTGTTTCAGGGCTGCCCAGCTTAGCAGGCAGCCTGGACAGGAGGCAGCAAGAACCTCGGCTGAACCGGGGCAACCCCATCTTTGAGCTCCCTGGTGCTCTCAGCACCAGCCATTTCCACTGCAAGCTGAACGGTGCGCACCACCTTTCTGCTGGGGGGCCTTGGAAGGTGACCTTGGGACTCAGGCTCAGTTTCCTTGAGGCTCGAGTTAAGTTTGGATTCATCACTGCTTTGCCTGCTCAGAGCAGGAGGGATGACACATCTGTTCACAGTGGGGCTGAAGGGTTCAAGAGGAAAGTGAAAATTGCTTCACTGGTTCAAATCTCTGTGAAGCCTGCCTTCTCCATGAGGTGAGAGCTGTCAGATCCAGCTCTGAGCTGGGTTGAAGGGCAAAGTGAATGGCCCAAGACCCTGCTTGGGTCAGTAAATGCTCCTGGACTGTGTTTAGTTTGTAGTTTGTCTCACACAGGAGTTGGGGCCCTTGGAGATCTCATATCTGTGCCCCATGATGCCTGACCATCCTGTACCCCAGCCCTGACAATGTGCTGGGTGCTGAGCTGTAGATTTCATGAGGCAGCTGACAACACTAAAGACCCTCATAGGACTCTATCTTCTCCAGGCTTTGCCCTCAAGGTGTTCCCCTCTCCTCCAAAACCTGTGCAGGAAGGGGCAGGCTGCTTTTGATTGAACCTCTTGACATTCCTGTGGGGAGAGCAGTGTGGTTGTCTGTGGGAGGAAGAGCATTTTACAGGCTAGCCTCAAGCCACAGAGGCAATTCCTCAAAGCCTTATACCTCACTCCACCAACCGAAACATTTTCTCTGTCTTTCTTCAAGGGAAAATGCATAGCACAGAGTCAAACAGATGGAAGTCAAGCATATGAACTCTGTGTGTCACCCCTTGAAAACAGAGGCCATCCCAGAGAACAGGCAGCAAACATGCAGGTTGTTGTCTGTGGATGCCTGTGTGTGACAAGTAACAATTTTCTCTCTGCTGGCTTCTGACCCTGCTTGCACCAGCATGAGGAGTCTGGTGCAGCAAGGTTTCCCTTAGCCCTAGCCCATGAGTGAACCTCCCACAGCATGTTCCAGAGCCTGTGGGCCCCCAGTCAAGCTGGAGGTGGTATTTGGTAGGCCATGGGGATCAGTTGTGCAGGCACACATTGCAAACCACTGCTGGGGTAGCAACAAGCCTTTAGCCTCAGTGTCCCAGCAGAGGACAGGTGGCATGAAAACTGCTTCGGTGTGCAGGACTGGGGCTGATCCTTGTCCCCTCTGTCTTATCCCTGCAGGACAGTCTATGAGGCAACTCCAGCTTACCTACAATGACTTTTTCCCTGACTACTTCTCGCTAGCAGAGAAACCTCCTGCTGAGTTCTGCCTCTCCCCAGATGGCAACACAGAGTCCATCTCCATTGACTTGCTGCAGAAGAAGGGTGAGTCTGTACATCTCTGGAGGACCATGTAATGTGCCAGGGAGTGTGCTTGAGCTTCTTCTCCCAGGAAATATTATTAGAAAGGATCGTAAGTATACAGGAATGGGCAGAGAGAGCAGACAGGCACAGGAGTGTGACCCTAAGGCAGGGCATGCTGCCACCCTGTGCTCTGTATACAATGGTAGACCTATGTGTATCTGTGTGATCTTGGAGATGTGCTAAACTGAAATTTTTTAATTTAGGTTAAAAGTCTGTTCAGTCCTACATAAATAGTATAAAATTGTATTAATTATATAAAAAGGTGGGAGAAAAGAGTCCAGAGCAGGACAAGATATGGCTGTGGTGGGATCCATGCTAGAGTCAGGGCTGGCAGGACTTGACAGCTGATTTGTTATCATTTTAGAGGTAAGGGATGTTCAGAAAGGTTCCCATGCCTTTACCAACTATGTGCTCATAATTACGAGATGGCAGCCTTCCCTTCTGTTTCAGTTCTGTTCTCCCACTATCCTGGTGCAGATAACAGATTACACACCACTGGCTTGTTACTGAAAGTCATGACAAAATGCAAGGCTTCTGTCCTGCCACCCTGTGGCATCAAGGCAGCAAAAGACACTTTGTCTCAGATCCCTCCTCTGCTGCCTCAGGGCATGGAGTATGGAGGTGATGGTCCCTGTCCCTTGGGAACATTGACAGGTTATTGACTGTCCCTGTCCCTGTCCTTGTCCCTCAGAATATTGACTGTCCTACTGACAGGCTGGTAGGTGAGTACTGGAACCAGCAGGAAGACTTTTGGTGAGGATTTAGGAGAGTCTCTGCATGTTTTTTTGGCAGAGAGGGCTTGTGTGTAGTCATGGGTTTGCAGTGCCCCTGGCTGATTACTTCCAGGAGGGTTTTGTCAGAGTCAGCAGCCCCTCAGACAGCTCTTTGACCTGTTGTTTTCCTCTAGGTCTGGTGAAGGCCATCAACACTGCTGTTGACCTGATTGTTGCTCACTTTGGAACCAGCAGGGATCCAGGAGTGAAGGTATGTCTTGCATCCAACTCCATTCTGAGTGGCACGGAGAGTACAGAGCAAGATTGCCTCTCCGTTCTCTTCATGTCAAAAACTACAGGTTATCTAACGAAGGCAGGAGTACCAAGAACAATTCAAACAAAAGTGATGCCACACCATGCAGCAGATAGTAAATCTTTGACAATTCCTGCTGCATGATGCAGTAAGTACATGTATTTAAAGGAAGATCAGAAAAACACAGGGAAATTATTAAACATATTAAACTTATTAAACATACAGGAATAATGTCTAGCTTAGGCTCTGAGTTGGAAGCTGTAGGCTGTGAAAGTATAAAGGGCAAGTATTATGTATAATAGTTCTGGTTTTACTCCTTCTTTATGTACTTACTATGGTTCTTTATAAGACAAAACACCAGGCCAGCTGCCCTTCTGGTTCGATGCAGCACATCAGCTCTTTTTTTTTCACACAGTGGAGAGATGTATCTCCCTCCTCCAGGTATCCCATGACACTGGTCTGGCACTGGTGCCAGGTTGTTCCCCATCCCTCAGCATCTCACATTTTAAAGTGAGATATCACATAATTTTAATAATAATAAAAATTGCATCAGATTTCATTCATCTGGGGAAGTTGGTCAGTCCCACTGTAGCTCTTACCATTAATACATTAGAGTATTTAGAGTACATCTAAGGGGCTGGTGGTCTTAGGCCTGTGCTCTCCTCATTTCCCATTTCTGGAATAACACAGAAGTGCATCTAGGTTGCCCTGGGGCTGGCTGTCTTTGGCCTGTGCTCCCTCATCCCCCATTTCTGGAATAACACAGAAGCAGAACAATTTTGCTTGTGTTTGTACCAGGTATTGTTTGCAGTCCTGTGACACCCAGCATGTTTATGGTGCCTCCTCTCATTGCTGAATGTTTGGCTTCAGTGACTCTCGGCAGCAATGTGACACTATTTGGACATGACAATTCCCCTGGCATGCCATCACCAAGGAGAAACCTGACTGGGACAGATTCCCAAACCATTCAATCTTATCTCAGAGCCCAGTGTAATTTTGTCCTAATTATGGCTGTTGCTGATGCAGAGATTGCTGTGCAACTTAACTGGAGCTGTTGAGATTCCCATGGCTTTTTAGGGCTTGGCAGTGAATTTCCAATACTTGCTGTGTAAGTTTGGGGAATAATTGCAACATTCTCTCACTACTTTTCTTATCAGACAATGCTGTGGTTTTAACCTCGGGTTTCTTTGTACATCAGTGTGCCAGGGGCTGAGCATTCACCTGCCAAAAGGCAGCATCCATCCCTGCTGCTGCTGTGCTCAGTGAATCTGACCAGATTATTCCTGAGCTGAGCCAAGTTCAGTTTCAGTTCAGGACTTTTGTGAACCTGTGCCAACTGGTCTGTATAATTCCAGCTCAGCTGGTAAAATCTGTGCCCTGAACACCATTGCCTGACCCATTTGGATAGACCCTTTGGCAGCTCAAAGACTGTTACCAGCAGAATGTGTCCCTGCTCTGCTGGTACTGGGCTCTTACATGCTTCCTCTTCACCTCAATCTGAGCTCTGGCCATCCATTTTGCCCTCATCTGTTTACTTACAGTAATCCGTAGGAGTTGAAGCTTGACATGTCACTGAGAGTGTTCCAAAACCCCTCAGTGCTGGTAGTTCTATATGGCATGGTGTTTCCTGCTCCAAAATTAGCTTCAGGAAAATCTACAGCAGCAGGAATATCCCCAGCTCTTTTCTTCCTCCATCAGGAGAGCTTTGCTATCTATCCCTTTGGAAGAACCAGGCATCCTTTCTAATTGGGATAACCTCTTTCCAATCTAATATATTCTTTTTTCAAGTTACTACATCTTCCCAGCCTGGGAAAGAGCTTGCGGAGAGCAATCCAAAGCTGGTGTATGAACATCAGGAGTGAAAGCAAAAACCCGGCATGTTGAAGGAGCTGCTGAGCCTGATGTTGCTTGCTAGGTGTCTGTAGTGGGGCTGAACTGTTTCCATCCATGTGTACCTTGAAAACGGTTAGCAGCACTCTCACTGTTGCCTGTTGTCCACTAGGCCAAACTTGGGAACAGCTCTGTGAGCCCCAATGTGGGGCATCTCATCCTGAAATACCTGTGCCCAGCTGTCCGGGACATTCTGAGTGATGGGCTCAAGGCTTATGTCCTGGACATGATCATTGGCCAGAGGAGGAACATCCCCTGGAGTGTGGTGGAGGCATCCACCCAGCTAGGTATGGATGTTGTGCAGTAGTGCCTGTGGTAGTTGTGGCTGGGAGGTGCTGGGGAAGGTTGGCTCTAAGGATGGGAGTGCAAAACACCCATTTTCCTGCATGAAACAGGGTTCACATGTGTCATCTCTTGCAAGAAGGGTGACACACTGCGCTATTCTTCCCAAGTACTTATTGTCATTTCCCCTGAAATTTGCAAATTCTCTCATAACAGGCCAAACCAATTAAAAAAAGGAGCAAAAAAACCCTGCAAAATTAATTCACATTTGTTTCTGCATCATACTGGGAAGTCTCATAGCCTGATAGTGGCAAATCTTCAGCTCTGCAGTTATCTCTATGATTGCAGATACCCCAAATTATAAGCACACGCCAAAGTATTCTCTTTACATGCTGATTTTGAGCCAGTGGCTGTGATTGTCACTGAAGTGTGGGAGGCAGGTCCTTGTGGTAATGAAACTCTTCCAGAGTTTTGGGGTGGTGGTCTGGGATGGATCACAGCCCTTCTCCCATGTGTAGTCTAAGTGTTTTTACAGCCTGAGCTTGCAGTGGCATGGTGGAAAGGCAATGCACACACAGACATGGACACCCAGATGTCTGTCTTGCCTTGATGCTCCATCCTGTGGTGCACTTTTGGCTTGGTCACCACAGCTAATCTCAACAATTTGCTTCTGTCCACAGGACCCTCTACAAAGTTGCTGCACAGCCTCTACAGCAAGATCAGCCAGTACACAGAGCTCACCAACCACACCATGCGGTTCAACGCGTTCATCTTTGGCCTCCTCAAGTAAGCAGGACCCGTAGGGTGGCTGCACGTCCCTGTCCAGGGCTGGCAGCAGCTGTTGGTCCTTGACTTCAGTCAGGCACAGTTGACCATGAAAAGAACTTAAGAATCTGGGAAGCCACTTCCTAGAAGCAGGCAAGGGAAGGAAGAAGCTGTAAGCCTCAGAGAATTCCTTCCAGATCAGAAGTGAGGATGAGTGGCTGTAGCCAACTGAAGAACAGGGTCAGTCTGTTTTAGCCCCAAAACATTAGGTAAGATTACTGTCTGTCCAATTTCATATGAGGTTAGATATAATATATGCATTAATTACTCTTGGAAATTCCTCTTTAAAGCACTCTTTCCTGGAGCTGCAGTGAATCTCAAAGCATGAGGCTCTGAAGGAGAAATTGCTGTGGTCCAGGACCCCAGACTGGCCCCTCTAGTTTGGATAAGGAGTGTGTTTAACAGAGGAAAGCAGCAATACGTTTTTGTGTGTGAAGGGATAAGCACTTCTAGGATGGTGTTTCCCTGGTCCTCTCTGGTGGTCAGCAAGAGCTCTGGCAGTGGCAACAGAGTTCCGAAGATCTCCAGATGTTGTAGAACTCCTCCAGGCAGGAACAAGTTCTGCCCTGCTCTCCCCACACAGAGTGACCCAGCTCTCCCCCACTGGCACAGGATACTGTCATATTTTGGGCTGAGCCACCAGCATTGGTCTTAGTTTTGTAGATCATCTGCCTCTTCCACAGCAGCCTCTTCTCAGCAGAACAAAGCTCTGTCAAGGACACAGGAGCAAAATAGAGAGGAATCTTGTTGCAAACATGGATGTTCATGGTTACAGTTGTACATGTAAAGCTATGTAGATGTTCAGTGATAGGCTGGGTGTCCATGATAAAGGAATGCTGATGGGACTGAACCACTGTCCTTTCCCCGAGGTTCACAAGTTCATGCATTGTAAATGCTCCTTTCCAGCCACACTTCTTGTGGCAGAAGAGTGAGGATGAATGGGGTTAATAGTCTTTTATTGTTTCTTTCTCACCCTGCTAATTTTCCATTCCTGCAGTATCCGATCCTTGGAATTCTGGTTCAACCACCTTTACAACCATGAAGGTAAGAGTCTGAAGGCTGTGGGCTGCAGTGGGAGCCAAACTCTGCATACAAATAGAACATGTGATGGAAATGTGTTTCTCTTGTTGCTCTCTCACCTTGGGCTGCTCCTCTCTGTCCTGAGGTGAAGGACTAAGCTATACAGAGTCTCAGTGTACCAGGAAAATCCCAGGTGGAAGTCCAAGCATCCTGCAGCTCCTTCCACCTGAACCTGGACTTCCATTCTTCTCCCCGCCTGCACCTAGTACCCAAGGCTTTCAGATCAGATCCCTCAATCTATCTGCAGGAGATCAGATCCATGCCTCCCCAGATTTCTATGTTTTTATGTTCCCTGTCCAGAGAGTATTGTATGCCTGGAGATGTGCACACTTACCTGAAAATTTTCAGGTATGGAAAATAGGAAGTAATGGAAAGGAAAACATGACATACAAAATGCAGATTTTACTGGATATATCTGTTTTATAGCAGAATAGAAATAGAAATAGAAATAGAAATAGAAATAGAAATAGAAATAGAAATAGAAATAGAAATAGAAATAGAAATAGAAATAGAAATAGAAATAGNAATAGAAATAGAAATAGAAATAGAAATAGAAATAGAAATAGAAATAGAAATAGAAATAGAAATAGAAATAGAAATAGAAATAGAAATAGAAATAGAAATATAGAAATAGAAATAGAAATAATAGAATAGAATAGAAATAGAAATAGAAATAGAAATAGAAATAGAAATAATAGAATAGAAATAGGAATAGAAATAGGAATAGGAATAGGAATAGAAATAGGAATAGAATAGAATAGAATAGAATAGAATAGAATAGAATAGAATAGAATAGAATAGGGTCTTGTGCTTATCCTGGCTTTCTGAAGACAGCCATCTATTAGAGCATCATTAAGACCTGGAAGTGTGAGAAAAAGCTGGGGACTGTCAGGTAATTTCCATCTTTCTTCCATGGCATTTGGTGGCAGAGGTCATCTGGACTGATAGTCTGCTAGGCAAGTCCAGGCTGCAGGAACAACTAGAAAGCTCTGTCTGGGCCAGTTTGCTGCAAGGTCACAGAGCATCTGGTGCTCCTTGACCCAGGCCTGAGCCTCACACTGTCACCAAAAACTGGTGTCCGTCTCCTTTCCTCATAGCTTCAGCAGCTTCATGATGGCTTGGCAATGGTGTCAAGGGCATCTCCTCTAATTAATGTCTTTTTTCCCACAGACATCATCCTGGCACACTACCAACCAGTGGGCTTCTTGTGCCTGTCTCACAGTGTGTGCCAACCTCTTTTTGAGGAGCTCCTGCTCCTACTACAGCCTCTCTCCCTGCTGCCCTTCAACCTGGACCTCCTCTTTGAGCACCACCTGATGCAGATGGGCAAAGAGCAGCAACAGCAAAAGGAGCTGCTGCGTGTGAAGCAGGACCTACTGCTTTCTGTGCACTCCACCCTGCAGTTGATGCGGACCCGGGGCAGCAGTGAGGATCCTGATGGCTGCAGCACTGCCCCTGAAGCATGCCAAGGGGGTGCCAGAGATGGTGACATCTCACCAGGGCACAGCCCACAGCAAGCTGTGAGTGAGAAGAGGGTCAAGGGAGTGGGGGCCTCCTGCGGAGAAGGTGACAGGGAGGAAGAGCAGACCAAGATGCGAGAGAGTACGTGGGAGGGGAAGAAGGACAAGCAGGCAGGTTGGTGGTACCAGCTCATGCAGACGTCTCAAATTTACATTGAGAGCTCAGCTGAAGGCTCAAAGTTCATCCGCTCTGAGAAGAAGAAAGCAGCTTTGAATCCTGCACCCAGGTCACTGGAGACCCACAAGGCACCACCTCCCCGAGAAGGTGTGGTGGAGGGTGCAGAGGCTTGTCCCATTGCTGAGGGCACCTTGCAGGAGAGGCCCAAGGCGGCCAGCAAGCCAAGTCCCGAAACCATGGAAGAGCCCTTGGAAAAGCCCCAGCAGGTAGCGGTTGGCGAAGAGGTGAAGGAACGGAGCTGGCCCTTCTGGATGGGCAGCCCCCCAGACTCTGTGCTTACAGAGCTAAAGCGCAGCAAGGAGAAGGAGGCTCAGCAAAGAGTGGGAGCAGCAGCAACCCCCCAAGAAGACAACAGCACCAGTGCATCAGAGGGCAGCCAGCCCATCAAGTGGGGACACTTGTTTGGGTACAGGAAGGTACAAAAAGAACCCAGACAACCAAACAGGTAAGGGCAGGGGTGGTTTGGGGCTTAGAAGGGCTGGTTAACCTGGACTATGGCAGTACAGGTGGAAGTCAGTCCATGAGCTGACTGCTGGGCTACACCGTGGTGGCACATCAAGGGTCTGTAACCCTGCTTAGTGCTTCCAGCCTGCCTTAATTCTTCCCATACCCTTGCTCAGTCCATTTCATAGGCTATCCTCTTCTGCCTGAGCTCTGTCACTGCCTTGGCATCTAAACCCTGCTACATGGCCCCATTATCACCCCATCCCTCCAAAAACCACATGTTGAGAACATAGAGCCATCCTTGTTGCTTACAACAGGTGTGGGGGAAGGGTGAAGTTGCCTCCAGTAGCTGAGACCTCTGTCCACTGCCTCTCCCTCTATACACCCTTACTCCTTCTGAAAATGACCACTGGAAATGCCCTTCCCAGTCCAGGCTGTGGTGTTACATCTGAGCCCTCCCTGCCTGGAGACCTAGGGCACTGCCTAGCAGAGTGCTTTGTGAGTGAAGCCAAACCTGTAAGGCGTGATGTTGCCATGAGACCACCTGCTCTTTTTCCCCAGGTGCACTTTCCTGCCACTGACTGCTTCTGTCTCCTCCTTCCAGGTTGCCGTCTGGCTGGTTGAGCTTGGACAAGTCCGTCTTCCAGCTGGTAGCCCAGACAGTTGGGGCTAGCATGTGGCGTGAAGCAGCCCCGGAGCCAGACCCTCCCAATCCAGAACCACCTGAGGCACCTGCTGTGGCACGATCAGCCCAGGGATTGTCTCCTCACCCTACCTGGTGAGTGACACCAAGTGGACAATCCTGCAGGTGCTGGAATGTGTTAGGTTGAGGGTGCCACGGCTCTACCTGTTGCAGTTTGCCTGGCCCCCTTTATAGTCATAGACCAGAGAATGATGTGGGGCAGTGATGCGCCTTGTGCATCCATCCACCATAACTCTGCAATCTGCAGGTGATGGGGAGCTGGAAGGGTGAGTGGGAGCCTGGCTGGGGAGGGAAGCAGGGGTTATTTTCCTCTCTCCCTGGGGCCTGTGATGGTCCCTGGGTGGAGTGAGTGTTCTGAGGTGAGCTAACCCTCCTTTCTTTCTTCTTGCAGTGAGGTGAAAGCTCTTTGCCATCACATTGCCACTGAGTCAGGACAACTGAGCTTCAACAAAGGGGATATTCTGCGCGTCATCTCCAAGGTGGATGGCGACTGGCTGCAGTGCAGCCTTGGCTCTGAGAAGGGACTGGTGCCCATCATGTATGTCACCCACCCTGAGGACGAGGACTATTGACACATTTAGGAGGCCAAGCACAGTTCCTGGGCTGCTGAGGCTTCTCTGGGGCAGCCTATCCTGCCAGAGGAACAAATACAGCTTCTTGCTAGTTTCTTACCTTTCCTGCCATTACAGAATACAGTAACCATAGGTGGTTCCTTCTTGCTCCTCCTTGTGCAGCTGCCAAAGGCCAACTTAGCCCTCCAGGGTCTTCTGCAAGCTGCACCTTGTATTGCCAGGCATCACCATGCATGCAGCCACACCAGGGACTGCCTGACCCCCCCCCTCCTCCCCACACTGTCTGCAGCACCCACAGGCCATGGACTTGTACACTACAGGAACCGGGGCAGTCCCTGCCAGGGTAGCGCTGCCCAGCTGTTGGATGCTGGAGGGTGCAGGATGCTGGCCGTCCCCTCCCTGGGGGTGGCAGTGGAGTCTGCAGCCTTCAGCATCCCTGGCATCCTCAGCTGAAGGGGTGGGAGCACCCTGCATTAGCAGGGTCCCTACAAGGCTGGGCTAATGGGTTGTGTTTATTGGGGCACTGCAAGGTAGGCTCCCTCACACTACAGCATCCCTATCCTAGTGTGCTGTAGTGGTTCCTGGTGGGTTGTACCAGGACAAGTGGCCTGGCAGTGCCTCACTGCAGGGCTGAGGCTGTGCATGGCCACGTGCACAGGGGAGGGGGACGGGATATGTGTGTGAGTGTGGAGCAAAGGGGTGTGTGGGGTTGCGAGGAAGGCATGGGGTTGTTCAGTGTTATGTAGGTCCAGGATGGGTAGTGCCACCCTGTGAAGAGATGGGTGCTCTGGGGGGAGGCCCTGTGCCCTCCACACTGAGCAGGGAACCACCGGTGCCTGGGAAGCCCTGGGATGCTCAGTGGAGGGCGCTGGAGGGGAGGGAATGAGGGCAGGGTCCCTTTCTGGGCTAGGGATTTGGGGGCAGTGCTCTCAGCAAGTAGATTGGGGGTGCTCCGAGAGGGAGCTGGGGAGTCTGGCAAGGGAGGGGTGGTGCTCCCTCTGGCACATGGTTTCTGGTCTTGCTGAGCAGTGCTGTGGGGTGGGGGGGATAAGTGTTGTGCACAAACACAAGGGGATACTGGAGGTCCTGGGGTCCTTGGTAGAGGCAATGCCAGTCAACCCCTTCCTTGCCATGTTCATGCCGCCTGCTGTAGTGGGGATCTTCACCTGCCTGTCAGGTGGGGAACAGTGTTAATGAAAGGCCATGCCAGTATTTGGTGCCATGGCCAGCTTGACGCTGTTCACAGCATCGTGCCTGGGCTGGCTTCACCATGGCAAGGGGCCCTGGTCTTGCTAGGTTACCTCCTGCTTGTACATCGCTTAGCGGATGTTGCACCATATTTAATTTGTATTTCCCTGTTAGAATGAGGTGTCTCACCTTTATTTATTTCTTTATTTATGATGCATATTAATAAAAAAGGTGCTGATTGAGCTCTCTGCAACCCAGACTTATCATTTCAGCACATCCCTGTGAAGGGTCTGTGGGTTACCAGTGCTGGGACACTGCATTGCAGGCTTCCTCCTGCATTTACCACAGCTAAACCAGACCTTCAGGAGGACATAGGTTGCCCTCAGCAGTCATACCGTCAGTTCAGGTCTGAGGCATGGGAAGGTGGGCACTACAGATGATGATATGTCTTGGGGAGGCAGCACTGTTTGGGGTTCCTTGTGCATTGCTTGCAGCCACCCAAGCAGGTTTCAGACAGGAGATCACACCATCTCAGCCTGGAATCTGCTGCTCCAGGGCAATGGGAAGGTAAAGGTGAAGGAGGGGTTGTGGGCTGGGACAACCTGGCCATATGTTTCAGTGGCTGTGGGTCACTCACAAGGAAGGACTCCAGAGATTCTAAACTTAGACTCAAAATAAACACTGGGCCTCCAAGTCCACTATGAACCCCAAGTGCCACTTCTTCTCTTTACCACTCAGCAGCTCAAAAGGAAAAGGGAAGAACTCTGCTTGTGACTTCAGCCTTTACTGCAAGAACACCACTCTGGAGTTTGCTGCATCCATGTGGACAAATGATGTGCACATATGCAGTGCATCAAAACTACTGAAAAAAAATCCACATAAAAGAAATCTACATAATTAACTCCTGCTCTGGCTGGGAGCAGCACAGAGCTGGCAGGGCCGGTACATGGCCCACTTTGATTAAGCTCTCAGAGGGGACAATGGTCAAGGCTGTTTATAAGTTCCAAGGAGCCAGGCTGCTGTCCCTGCATGCACTGGGTGGCCCAAAGGAGGAAGGGGACCATGTGCTGACAAACAGCCCCCCCAGGGTGCTGAGTCAGCCCTGGGGCAGGAAAGGGGATTTCCAGCTGCCTGTGTGGACACTGACACTGAGCAGCTCCCTGGTTACTTGCTGCTGGGGTAGCCTTGGATGCAGGGGAGGCACAGAGGGGTGGTTACAGTGTCAGAGGCTGGATTTGGGATTGCTGTTATGGAACTTGTAGCTGCTGAAGTCTTCTTTGGGGTCATCTGGCTAAAGTCAAGCAGATCCAGGTTGGTGGCTATCAGATAGCCTGTGGCAACAAGGAACTGGCCACAGGGCACAAAGCCTATGAATCCTGCAAGGCTGAAAGTACACAGCAATGTGTATGGGACGTTGGGACAGTATGGAACAGTACTGGAGCTGTGACCGAGTGGCTCTGCTGGTGGTAGCCTGGTCCTGGAGGGTCAGCTGTAGGACCCTGATGGGAACATGGGGCTATGAGCTCTGTCAGGGTCATGCTAAGCAGGAAGAAGAGACACTTGAGTGTCCATCAATACTCATCATGGGGACTCCTATTCTCTGGGGACACTGCTGGTCCAGGTACCTCATATGTCTTGAGGTGCAGAGCCAGGCCAGGGGCAGCTCTGGGGCAGCACCAAGATGCAGGCAGTCCCGCCTGTCTCAGTGGGCAGCAGCAGCAATGTCCTCCTGTCCTCCTTGCAGGTATTACTGAGCTTCTGTTCAACAAAGTTGCTCCTTGCTTCCTTTCAGATCTCAAAAGCAGGCCTTAGCAAAGAAGTGCTGGGCTCTGTGGGTGAACCCTGGGAGCAGAGATTCATCATGTGGGAAGGAAAAAGGAGCCAAATTTCATGGTACAGGAATTTGCTCTGCATGCTACAGAAGCAAGGGGGGATGACCCCCATGACTGTGGGACCCAGTGCTGGCAGGAGTTAAGTTGTGGGGTAAAGACAGCAAGGCTGAGGCAGATTTAGGGTGCCACAGGAGTCCAGATGTGCATGACAATCTGAGGGACATGTGCCAGCAGAGAGGGCAGGACCTGCTGGTGTCAATTGCTAGGGAGTCCTGGTGGGTCCCCTTGGACCTTCTATGCCCAGGTATCAGGACCTGGCTTACCCTCAGGTCAAAGGTGCTGACCTTGTCCCTGGGTGTGTCAGTGCTGAAGGAACTCTGGAATGCATGTGTCCAATGGAAAGGCCTGATACATACTGGAAGAGAGAGGGGAATGCCTTTCCTTCCTATGCCACTCCTGGCAGCCAGATCCCATTCTCAGACTGTCAGTGTGCAGTGGGCAGTGACACACAAACAATTCATAAAATCAAAGGTTTGGGTTGGAAGGGACACTAAAGATCATCTAGTTCTACCCCCACTACGGTGGGCAGGGATGCCACTTACCAGGCCAAGCTGCTCTAAGGCCCATCCAGTCCAGCCCCATCCTTGAACTGTCGAAATCCCAAAAGTTTCCACTCAGCAGCTACACCATGATGGGCAGGGACTGCCAGGCTGGGGATGGGCATGCAGGTGACTCTGACATACTTGTGGCCACTAGTTTGGGGTCCTAAAACTAAGTACAAGATCATATGAACCCCCGAGAGCTGTGTGTGGGCTCAAAACAGCTGAACATCCAGCTTTTGGGCCAGCCCAGCTGCAGCCTAGCCTGGGGACAGGCCAGCTCCCTGTACTGTCTCTGTCCCAGCCCAAAGTCAACAGAGCCATTTCCAAGGTCCCTGGTCAGTGCAACAGTACTTGCAGCAGCCAGCCAGGAGTGCTGAGCCCTCCTCCAGCTAGAGGAAGGACAGTGCTGCTTTTGCAACACCACCCTGGGGCTCAGCACTGAAATAGGCTCCTGCCATATTGACTTACTCCCTGGGGCCCTTCTCCGACTCCCTCTCGGCCTCAGAGCCTCCAACTGTACCCATTGAAACCCACAAGGCCTCCTCTGAGTGAACTGCAATGGCAGCATTGCCCATCAGCGGCCTCCACATCCCTGGGCCCTTTTCCCCTGGCTGGAACTTTTGTGGGGCAAGGGCCCTTCTGGTGCCAGCAGCTGCGTGTGTTCCATGTCGGGGGAAGGCTGGCAAGCCAGATGCCACTGCTGGAGAGCGTCATGCAGAGGAGGATTATGCACAGGTGCAAGCACTGACTTCCAGCTGCAGGCCAAGACCTTTCAGAAACTGGTTTCTTCTCTGTAGTGACCAGTGACAGGACCTGAGGGAATGGCCTGCAGTTGTGTCAGAGGAGGTTTAGATTGGGTATTAGGAAAAGGTCTTCACCCAGAGAGTGGTTGGGCACTGGGTCAGGCTTCCCAGAGAAGTGTACACACCACCAAGCCTGACAGATCTCAAGAAGTTTAGACAATGCCCTCAAGCACATGGTGTGACTCTTGCAGAAGTCCTGGGCACAGCAAAAATTTGGACCTGATAATCCATGTGGGTCCTTCCCAGTTTACCTATTCTATGATTCTGTGATTCTCCAAGGTGTGGCCCCAGTGATGGGGGCCCTGCTTCAGAGGAGAGATGCAGACCTCTTTGCACCATGAATACACCTTTGGGAACAGAAATCCCAAATGAAAGAAAGGAGCAGGGTATAGTGCTACTGCTGTGTGCCTTCAAGCATTTTTGTGACTGGCTTGCAATACCAGGTAGGGGCAAGCAAGTATGTGGCTTTCCACATGCACCACAAGACTGGGAGGAAGATGGGGATCAGCTCTGGGCAGGAAATATGGGTTGAACATGTTCCCAGGAAAGGGCTGCCTGCTGGTGACAACCATAACATGCTTTGTTTCCATGATATTGTGTAATTACTAAAGACTGAAAAGTCCAGGCATATCTTAATCAGCATCAAAAAGGGGAAATATGTGGAAATGAGGAAACAAATAAAGCAGCACAGTCACAGTGTCCATCAAAGAGTTAAGGCAGCCTTTCAAAGTTCCTAGTATCAAAAGGTAGAGACAAGGCAGCAGGAATAACCACCAGGGCCAGAGGTTATTTAAAACAGAGATGGTCCTTCAAAGAGAAGTCATGTCTAGAGGACAAAAATATTGTCAGAGAAATAATACATAAATTCTTGATAAGGCAAACAAAAAAGTGAGCAAAAAACAGCCTGTAGAAGCAGCCAGCAGCCCTTTTTGCAAATACTTCAATTCCAGATCTGCCACAGTGTCTGTAGGGTAGACAGGAGAGCATGTCTTTACAACAGAGTGACGTCCCTGGGTTGACACGATTGCTGCAAAAATGGCTCCAGTGCCAGAGCCCTGGAAGGTTTGTGGTGAAATGGAACACACTCCTGGCAGCATGCCTGGACCCTGGCATTGCACCAGGACACAGCTCCTTGCCTACACCTGCTGAGGTACAGCCTGCCCATCCTTCCAGCTGAGCCAGACCTGTTGGATGCAGCTATCTGTGTGGTTTTCAGTTTGCCTGGTGTGACCAGAAGGCATTGGAACTTCCAGAGAAAGCAGAACCGATTTTCAACACCCCTCCATCCTCCCTGCCAGAGCCTGGATTACACTCAAGGCTGAATTTTTGTGATGTGGAGCAAGGGTGTTAAGAATTATAAAGTTTCCTGACAACTTGCTTCGTCCATGGCTTTTGAATTTTCATGTGGGGCCATGAATGATTTCCAGAGATGCCAGATACTGGTAACACAGGAACTGAGAGCCATTGTTCTGCTAGGATTGGTGCAGAGTGGGACCAGGAATGTGATTTTTTACACTTTTTAAATGTATGGAATTCTCCTACTCCTGTTGCAAAAATCTTCCCAACTGAAGAACCTATTCCTACTGATACCATTTGCTTTTGTAGCTCTTTAATTTTTTTTCTTGAAAGGCCCAGACACAAAACGGGACAGGGAGAGGTGACCTCTGAGTTGCTGCTGTTGGTGCAGACAGAGCAGCAGTTGCTTCCCTCCACTCCCCAAACCTCTCAGACACCTGAGACAGAGCACACCAACCTCCCAAGTACCTCCCAGGCTGTGCTCTGCTGCCATGCCAGGGTCCTGTCTGTGCACTTGCAGCCCCAGAACACCTTTTCCAGGGCAAATATGTTTGAGTACAGTGAACTCTCTGTGGGTGAGCTTCATATTTGAGCAAAGGAAATAAAAAGGCATCCTCATGGAGGTGGGGATCGCTGGCCCTGCCAGCTCTGTTGCAGGAAGAGATGAAACATAGACAAAGGAGGCTGGTTTCTGAGCCTAGAAGGGAATGTGGCTGGGCAGTCTTATGCTCTATCCCTGAGAGGTAAAAACTGCAGGAGTATCTGGCCCCAGGCAGCTCCTATACTGGCAGAAAAAGAAGAAAACAAGAATTCTACCATTATTTGCTCAGGGTTAGTTTTTGTGCGTGACTGGGGGAGGCATATATTCGGAGAGAGCCATCTTGCACTGGCCTGCTCAGTGCTGCTGAATAAAGGCGTTGCAGGGTGTGCAAATCATCAGAAAGCAGTGCCTGACCCCAGGAGTGAGAGCACCACCTGAGGAGCTCAACAGAAGAGAACCATCACAGGGGAATGCAGCGTGGCTGTGAAGCCTCAGAGAAGACTTGAGGGCTTGTTTTCCTCCTAGTTCTGTGTTTCAGTTGGGATGCAGGCCAGGCACATCCAGCAAGGTGGCTGGGGGAATACTAATTCATCAGCTCCTGCCCTGAACCTGCTCTAATGGTTGGGTCTGCTGCTTTGGCCAGTGCCACCAGCCTCCAGATGCACAGACAGCCTCACCCCAGTCCCTTTATTGCCCCACTGCATGTGCTGGCCTCCCACCCTTCATGGTCATTCCGGCTCCCAGCAAGGTTTGACAACACAATGTGCCACAGCAGCTGATCTTGAGGCTTCCAGGGCTCTTGTCCCCTTCTGCCCAAACATCTTCTCTCAGGCCAATCCTGAGCACCCAACCACTCCTGCCAAAACCTTGGATGTCCCATCCATGGCACACACTGCCAGGTAATCAAAATAATCTGTGCCCTTCAGAAGTCCCTTTTATCAAAATCCTTATCATGGCAGTAAAAAGGTGAGGATTGTCCTGATGTAGTCACTGCTTGAATTTCTGGATATGGAAGGTACATCCTCCTGCTAAAGCCCAGCCATGAACCATAACACCTCACAAGCCCTTCTGAGATCTCTGCTGGGAGAGGAAGCATCTCAGCTGTGGTTAATAGCTAGTCCTGACAGAAGACATAAAAACTGTGACAAGAAATTAGAGACAGCAGGATTGCAAAAGGGTCATGGAGCTGAAAGAGAAAGAAGGCAGTGCTGACACTGGCAGAGTTTCCTCTTCCAATGAGGAAGCTTCTTACACCATATGTGATTTTCTGCATGCGTGTTTCCTTTCCGTGCTCGCAACACTCACAATCAGATGGGTGTGCAGTGAGACAGCCAGGGTAGCTGAGACATCAGTCCTGCCCTGGGAGCATAGGCAAACATGGCCCTGCAATGGATGGTTCTCCTGCTCCTCACATCTCTGCTGGCAGCACAAAATCATGATAAGCTCTATCCCAACAACTATGGAAAACCCCAGGGAAGAGGTAAGCAGTGCTCCCTCCTCTATCCCCAAGACAAAGTTTTACTGTGCTCCTTTTGCAGAGCTGCTGTGCAACTTTATGGCATGCAGGATACAGCAGCTGTATCAGAAGTCTGATGTCCACATTGGGGCCCAAGTCCACCAGTTGGGTTGTGGTTAAGCAGAGCTCTGTTTGGGGATGGAGAGCAGCAAAGCTTGTGGGTGCTGGGAAAGCCCCAAGAAAGAGTCTGTAGTGTTCCTCCATGGAGTTGCAATCACAAGGTGTCCATCTGTCCTTGCACAATGTTGGGGTGCCATGTCCTCACCACAGAGGAGATGGGTGCTGGTGCCTGACAAAGACCCAAGGAGCCATGAGCTGAGCCCCTGGGTGTCCAGGAGAGCCTGGGGACAGGACTTACAATATTCTGGGATTGCTCTTTAATGCATTTCCTTGGTGCTGGAAGGATCAGGGCACCCCCAGGGTTCTGCTGGGCTCGTCCTTCCCTGGCTGCACGCTTTGATGTCTGCAGAGTCAGTGGGAATATGCAAGCTCACATGTTGTCTGTCCTTCCAAGAGGCTGCACTGTCTGGCAATTGAACTGTAGGTCCAGGAACTGTGACCTTGTATTGTTCCCTATCTGTCGTGGAGCATTACTCTGAGCTAATTTTCCTGGAGCTAGGTGATAAAAATCATTAAACTAGCATTTAATTCTGGTCCATCCTAGTCCATTCTGGTGTTGTATCTGTGTGGATGCAGGCTAGAGAAAACAGCTGATCTAGTGGCTGACAGAGTACAGGGAATGGGATCAGAAACTTTAATTGCTGATGTGAGGTGACATCAGTGTCAGTACTATGTGAGAGGTGTCACAGGAACCTTTTTTCAGGGAAAATGTGTGTGGTTGCAGAGAGTGTCAGCACAGCACACTGTCATGCAAAAACAAGAGCTAAAACTGCAACAGAGGATATTCTCCTGCCCTGAGTGTCTTCCCATTCCCAAATCCCCGCTGAAGCTGTTCTCCCAGGCCAGCACGTGCAACCATGGCTTTCCTGTTTGTTTTCAAGGTGCACACTAAGACCGGGATCTGTGTTGTGTACAGTGGGATGCAACAGGGACCTGTAGGCCTGCAGATTCTTGTCACACTCTGCATATCTCAGTCGCCCAGCCATCCCCAGAAGAGTCTAGCACTGGCTGTGACACAGATTATATTGCTGACTTTGCACCTTGGTGCTTGTGAAAAGAGGAACCAAGACAAAAACATGCGGTGGCCACACCCAGCAGTGTGAGCAGCCCTGCCTGCATCCTCAGCACATGGGCTCATTCCATCCTGGCACCTTTGCTGAGCTCCAACCTGATGGATCAGGGTCCTTCTCTTGCAGAGGGACAGGGCAAGGAAGATGGTCCGAATGAGGCAGGAGGGTCCCTCCCATCCCTGCTAGGGTGGAATGGGCTGACAGTGGCAGTGGGGCCAGGTAAAGCTGTTGGACAGAGGGAGGGAACAATAGGCTGGGATCCCTGAGCATATTCCCTGGCAGATACAAGGTACGACCCGTTGTGCAGAGAACATTGCAGGGAGCAACAGTGCAGCCACAGGCACAGGATGTGGTTTGCACATGTGGTTGGCCCTGCTGCTCAGCACACCCCATCACGGGGACTCTGTGCACTAAGCAGGGTGCATTGTATTATTGTCCCATTGTCACCTTATTGTCTTGCTCTGCTCCTCTCACAGGGTGTTCTTCCTCCCTGAAATGCCATTCCTGTACAAAACTCTCCTCCCCTTACAGTCCCAGTGCACCTGGAAGGAAGGTGGGGAAGCTTCTAGGGCACATTTCCTGTGCAAAGGGAGGGTCTGACATCCAAGCTGGCCCTGACGCCTTTTTTATCAGCCTTGCTGGACACTGTCTAGTGATCTAGTGGCAGCTGACAAGATGTTCTAACAAAGAGCACAGTTGCAATGACTGGGGGCTGGGAGAGTGGTAGCTAAAATTAAGCCTTAGCCAATCTGAAAGGTTTTGTGTCAGCTGAATTCCAAATAGTGCTTAAAGCAGATCCTATGAGCATGAATGCCAGGGGTGCCTGGGGCTTGGCACCCTAGGGCTGGTAAACTGTGTGCTCCACCATGCTTCCACTTCCCATCACCAGAGCACAGATTCAGGAAACACAAATTTTGCCTCCTGTTCTTAGACACTTGTCAGATGTTCTGTAGCATCTGGTGGACCAGTATAGGTTAAAGTGCCACCATTTCCCAGCTCTCCTCACAATACCTTGTTCAGTGACTTGCTTTGCCACTCCTTTCCCTGCCATGACTCCCAAGCAGATCACCCCCAGGGTGTCCCTGCTCCATCACTCTTAAACACCCGCTCAGCAGCTCTGGTGGCTAGTGAGGAGTACAGAGATGCTCTAAGACCCGTGTTTGTGTTCTCAGTGCCTTACAATACAACTCTCCACTGGTGGAAAGAGCTATTGCTTTTCTTAGCTCCTCTCAGCAAGCGCATGGCATCAAACACAGCAAGACTGCAGTGCATTTTGCTGTCACCTCTCTCAGCTGCTGAGCTGCCCTGCCAAGAGGGTTGAACTTTGCCCACTCCTTCTCAGATTTCACCTTGTCCTTTATTCTTTGAGTGTAAGATAATACAGTGTAAGAAAGGACACCTTTGCTGTTAAGCAAAGGGCTGAACCCAGGAGCCTGACCTGAATTATCAGCATAACTCTTCCTCCTTTCTCCTGAGCCTCCTCTTCTGGCCCATGCCGGGGCTTTGTTTAGCCTGCCAGGCTCATAACTCCTTGCAGCAGGGACAAGCAGTCCAGACATTTCTGAAAAAGGCTTTCTATATTCGTCAGTAATAAACAATAGCTGAGAGTATTCATTTAATAGCATCAACTAGGAAAAAACCAAAACAGTAAGTATCTGCCTTTGGAGATGAATAGACCAACCTTTTGTTACCATTCCTGTCTCAGGCATTCAGTATTTCCCATTTCACAGTTAGTACACATTGCACGTTACAAAAGGTGCCTATTTGGTCACATCTATTCTATATTTTCCTTGCTGAAATTTCACTTGACTCAGCCTCCTTCCTCTAGCTGGGGCAGAGAGCCTGTGGGCGGCTCTCTACATACCACTGTGCAGGGTAAAAAACTCTGTGAGAACTGTTCCATTACGCTCTCAGTTGCTGTTAATCCCTAAAAGGTTGGAAGCTGAGTGTTTCTCTCCCCTTTCTGTCTGAGTACTATCCTTTCTCCATCAGTGTGCTGGCCCCACAAATACATCCAACTGCTTTGCACTAGTGGGGAGTTCCATCTCTCCAGTGGAGGTCCCTTGACAGCTTCCCATGGACACCTCCAAAGCACACAAGAAGTAACCCTGTGTTAGAGCTCCTTCTCTCCAAGGTGCCCTTTTCCCACACCAATTTTTTATTGAATTATTTGGAAAGGAGTGTAAGGAGCATGAAGTCAGAGGCGTCCCTCCCAGACTGTGCATCCTGACTGCACCTAGCAGCCATGGATTAATTTCTCCTGATGAACCTCTAGTGATAATCACATGCCTGACAACCTTGGACTAACTGAAGATGTAAGGCCAAGCTGGATTGTAATCAACAATGTTCTTGAGATGAAAGTAGGCATGGACTAAATAAATCTTTTCTTCCCCATTTTGCAGAGAAGCAGAGCTTCCTAGGCTTTACTCTCAAACAATCATCAGAAATGCCACAAGCATTCTGAGCAGCTGTAGGTGCCAGGATGCAGATGGTGTCAGTGATGTGACAGGGAGTTCAGTTCCTCTGCAGAAGTAGTAATATGGGCAGGAGGCAAGCCCTGGAGGGGCTGTGATGTTTGGACACTGCTGGCAGCGTGCTCTGTGTGCAGGCGATAAACAGGATTTGGCATTCCCTCAGGCTGCCCTGCTGGTGTATACTGCCCCTCTACAAGGCAAGCAAGATTTTTTTGCCATACCCATCCCTCTGTCAGACAACATTAACTCCCAGGATAATTTCTGAGGCTGGTGCATTCCCATGTAGTGGTACTCTCCAGTCACTGGATTCTTTGAGCATGGGAATGAACTGTGGGCTCTGCCTGCCTTTTCTGATCTCTTCCACCCAGCCCTTGGGCTCTGCTCAGAATAGTCCATGCCCAACTTGAATGTGGGTGCCGCGTCAGCCTCTGTCTACCCCTGAGCACAACAGGGGCACATCTGGAAGGTCAAAGGGCATCAGAGAGCCTGTGAGGAATTTAAAAAGTGGGGCCAAATGATCACCTCCATTCCCAAATTCAGAGAGATGCTTTAAGACCCATATTTTGTTCTCAATGGCTTACAATGCAAATCTCCAATGCAACTGGAAAAACAGTGGTTTTCTCTGTGGAAACAGTAGTTGCTTTTCTTAGCTCCTCTCAGCAAGCACATGGCATCTAACACATCTCAGAAACCTTGGGAAGGAAAGGATGAGTCACAGAGGACAGGAATCCCCCTGGTGCTTGCAAGGGGCCCTGTGGGCAGGGAAGCAGCAAGAAGGGAGCAAAAGGGTTTGCCTTCAGGACTGCTCTCCTGTGCAGTCTTTGTATCCAAAGGGCAGATGCACTGCTGGCACGAGTGTGGTCTTTGCAGAAGCACATTTCACCTGCCTACCCTTGCCTGAGGCTGCACTGGAATCTGCACTGCATCCCATAAGCGTCCCAACATTCATCCCAGCTCAGCACACAATTACAGGAAACCTGAGGAAAACCTGGATCAAGTCTGGATATCTGTGGAGGCCTTTTCACCTGAAACAAAGACAACAGAGAAGAGGCTGATGTTCCTGCAAAGCATTAAGTCTGATAAGTGCCCAGGTCCAAGAGAAATGACTGGGTGGAGTCCTGTGAAGGTGGACACCTAGTCAGAAATTCGTGGCTGTTATGTCAGCTCAGTTCATGTAATCCCTTCACACCCACTTCCAGCCCAGGAGTCTTACACAGCACCTATTTCCTTGTGCCCGTAACCGAGGAAAAGTAACCTGAGTTGTAAGGAGCAAAAGAAGGGACTGGCAGAATGAAGACCACCCTGCTGTAGGAAAAGACCAGGTTTCAGACCATCTGAGGCACCAGAAGGTGCACAAATCCATGGGACATGATCAGATGCATGTGTGGGTCCTGAGGCTGGAGGAAGTGACAGAGACACTATCCATCATAGCTGAGAAGTTGTAGCTGGCAACATCCAGTACAACCCCCACTGACTGTAAAAGAAGAAGCAGAACCCCCTCTTTTAAAAAGGGGAATTGAGGGAGGCCCAGGGAACTACAGGCCAGTCAGTCTCCCTTTGGTGTCGGGCAAGATAATGGAGCAGTTCCTATTAGAAATTATTCTGAGGCATATGGAAATGATTTGTGATGGCTTCACAAAGAACAAATCTAGTAATTTATTGGCCTTGGTGGAGTGACAGTGTTTGTGGGTAAGGGAGGAGTGATTGGCATCATCCACCTGGACTTGTGCAAGGTGTTTGACACTGTCCTGCATGACATCCTTGTCTCCAAATTGTGAAGGTGTGGATTTGATGGATGGATCACTCTTTGGAGGAGGAGTTAGCTGCAACATTCAAAGTGTGGCAGTCAGTACTTTGATATCAATTGGCATGTGATGCCCAGTGAAGCTGTGCATGTCCCATCCCTGAAAGTGTTCAAGGCCAGACTGTGGATGACTTTGGACAACCTGGTGTAGTGGAAGGTGTCCCTGTGTATGACAGGAGGGCTGGAACTAAGTGATCTTCCTTAGGAACCTTCCAGCCCAAGCCCTTCTATGCTTTTATAAAAAACTGAATGAGTCCTAAGTACCTGTAAATAATAATTAGGATAATACTACAGATGCCTGATTTCAGTTGTGCAGAAGTAGCAGCTTTAGAAAAGGAAAATTGACAAACTTTAAACACGACTAGCTCTCATTTTTTGCTACAGTAAATCCACTTTGTATTGCATCTCTAAAGCAGCAACCATGAGGTGTGGCTTTTTCACACACAGAGTTATCCCTGCCTCTTCGAGGAAGCCTGGCAAGTCTAGAGAGCTTCATTCACAGTTATTTCAGCAGCACGAGGTTTGCTCTATGAAAAGACTCAGGAAGAGCTGCAAGCAAGGCAGAGCTCTGTTGTGCAGCTGCAATCACCCTTGCCAGCAAAGCATCCATGTTTGTGGAAAGACAGTGTCCCAGATAGCTCTTGAAATCTGCACCTGTGTCAGCAGAGTGCCTGCAAGGTTGAATTGCTCTTTTCCTCCTGCCTTCCTGCCCAGCAGCTTGCTGTGTGTGATGCTACTAGTGGGTTTTGAGTGCTGTGGGAGCTCTCACAGCTACCAGGAGGTGTGGAACAGTTACAAAAGGAAAAATGGTGAGTCTCCCTCACACTGAACTCAAGAGTGGGGCCATGTGGGAGAGGCTGGATATGCTTGAGAGCATTCACAACCACCTGAGCTCCTAAGGCTGACTCCACTTCAGTTTCCATCCCCTGAAACTACTTCTTGCTTCAGGCCAGGCCCCACATGACTCTTTTCAAGCAACTGTTGTTCACATTTCTGTGGTACCTCTAGGATCAAAGAATACCCATCAGTGAATAATCTTCCTATAGGCACAATTCAGGGCCCTGAAATGCAAATTAAAACCTGGGAAATGCTTTCATAAGTAGCTCTCACCTGAAATACCTGATGCTCAGTTTGCCAGTCTGGGGATATTTTTTTTTTTTGATTGGGAAGTCATTTGTCAGGGGTTTCATCCTGTCTGGGGACGTGTAGCTGTTGTGGTCCGCTACTGCATGAAGTATGCAGATCACTCCTGGGTTTCCTGGGGAGCCCTGATGCCACTTGGGTGTTGTAGTGCAAACTCTCAGTGCCTGCCTGACTCCCTGGTAACTTTGGACAAAGTTTGGGCAGCTACAGCTAAATTTGAATGGCGGAGGAACACTCACAGAGAGTAACAATTCTTATGTGAAAAGTGGGATCTGATCAGAGGGTAGAGACCCAAATTAGGGCAATGCAGAGAGCCAGCAGCACTCCTATCTAGAATTTAATGAAAACAAATATGAAGATTTACTTCATGTAGGTTTGGCAATCAATTGCCCAATCTATGTGTTGCAAAACACAACCAAATGTGCAGCTGGTGAAATACCGACATGCTGTTAAGCCTCTTCTGCCAACTCAGATGAGGGGGTGTCACTCCTCCTGGGTGAGGATGGGAAGGATATGGGACAGGAGGTAGCTGCTCCTTGGGGCCAGCAGATATTTCCTGAGAGGGATAGAGCAGAGGGAATTGCCACAGTGTCCACCAAGAGTCTTCTTGGTGCTTCCCTGCTAGCTCCAACACAGCGGCTGCAGGGGACACCCTTCTGTGCTCAGGAGTGCAGAAGAGCGGCTAAGGGTTATGAGCCCATTCCTCAGAAGGCACTGTCAGCAATGGTGAGGGAACCGGGAGGAGACAATCCAGGCTGTATAAATCCAAGGTTTATTGGTAGCTCCCTCAGGTGATACAAGACTGTAAAGCCCCCAAGAAGTCTGGAGCAGCCCTGTTTCTTAGGGGGTGGAAACAAGGGAGGGGTTTGACTATACACTAATGGGTGGTTAGAGGGGAGTGGGACATGCAGTAATTGACAAGCAGGAAAACATATTGAGGAGCTGAGGAGGGGGACCCCTGGCCCTTAGCCAATCACTCTATGCCCTTCATGGAAGCTTATAGAGAGAGGGGCTAGAGAGTCAAGTGACAGACAAGGTGCCAGGGAGGGGGTATAGGGATTGACAAGAAAATTTCTAGGGATTTGGGAGGAGTGGGGATGGGATTGGCATTTAGGGAAGGGAAGACAATTTGGGATGAAACCATAAATGAGGCAAAAACAGGGACAAACTAAATAATACAATACAACAGGAAATAACAAGTGTAACATCCTGACCAAAAGCAAAGTGGCAACTTCAGTGGGATTTTGCTGCAAACAAGTGTTTGCACTGTGGGTGTGAGCAGATCGTGTCCAGCAGAATGACAGGAATGCCAATGAGTGGTGCCAGCAGAGAGTCTGGTGCACTCCTCCAGCCCCTGTATTTGTGGGAGAGAGCAGCATCCCCCCGGCTGCTGGATCCCTCTGGCTGGGCTGTCTCTGCAGCAGTGGGTGGGCAGGATAACCCTGTGGATAACCCTCCTGCACGGCCCCTGAGAGTGTGAGGAGGGATAAAGCATCTGGGAGATGGGGCTCATCTGGGAAGGTGCTATCTCTGCCACCTCTCTGAACAGAGAGGGATTGGCACCCCTCCACATAGAGCTCCCTCATCCTCATGGATGCTGCTGGAGCCCAGTGACCCTCAGGCTCTGCCTCCTGGCCTTTGCACACAGGAAAATGTGAAGCTCCCTCAGACTGGGACCCCAAACTGCGGTTTACACCAAACAAGACCAACTATGACTTGAACGAAGTTGTGCAGCTCAGCTGTGGTAAGAAGAATCCTGGGAAGTTTGTGCCATCTGTCCGGCAGATCCAGTGCATTTCCAGAGGGGCCCAGATGCAGTGGAATGAGACTGCCACCTGCAAGGGTAAGCACAGCCCTGCACCACCGTGACCCAGGGTCCTGAGCTGGTGACAGACTCTCTGTGACCTGGTCATGCACATGACAGTGCAGGAATGGCAGACCTGGATGCCTTGGCTTTTCCCCATGTCCTGGCAGTGACAATGCTCTCTTTGTCTCAGCACCTTGCTGTAGGCACCTGCTGGGCTCTGTGCTCCTGGGAGGGGTTCAAAGGCAGGAACAAGGGTCCCTACACTGTGGGGTACTGCAAGCCCTGTGCCTTCAAACAATGACTGGGTGTATGGCCAAGGTGGTTGGAGGGGATAGAAGTCTGTGTGAAGATTGGGAAGGAATTCAGTCCTTGCCCAGCCTTTTCCAAATGGAGCCTGACTTGAGAAGCCTGAAAGAGTGTAGTGGGCATGGATGGGACTGCTCCATGGGCGGTCTGCTGCCACCAATAACTCTGTTCTAGGCTGCAAGAGAGGGATCAGCAATTGAATGTGGTAACCAACGGACATGGGCCCTGTCAAACTCAGAGCAAGAGATATCCCAGCAGACCACTTCCCTTCCTGCTTACATGAGCTCCTTCTCCTCTCTACTCTGCAGGGAGGTGCCAGAAGCCCCAGTGGGACACACAGCTCCACTTTAGGCCAAACCGGAGATTTTACTGGGTCAGTGAAGAGGTGCAACTGACCTGCTGGATGAACGACGCTCCTCCCCTTGCTATGATCAGATGTGCTAACTGGACGGATGCCTGGGAGGTGCTGGACATGGGGGGAAAATGGCATAGGTTGGCAGAGAGCCCGATCTGCACCACGGGTAAGCTAGGAACCAGTAGATCTCCCCTGCTAGGTGCACTTCTCACTCTGGATGGGACCTGGACATCGTGCCAATACCTGTGAGACACCTTGGGCATAGCTCAGTGTCAGGTCCCAGTTGGGAGGAGTCTGCAAGGTGGGAGGGTTAGAATCCTTCAATGTGGGACAGGTTTTCTCTGTCCCTGCATCTCCCAACCTATTCCTGAGTTGTATGTCACCAGGAAGTCAGAGGGGGACAGATCCTGCCCCTCAGTTTTCACCTCTCTCCCAGTGTCCTGTATCACTTCCTTGCCCGGGAACATGCTCTTTTTCTGCCTTTGGGGATCCTTGGGTTTCCTCATGGTATTGAATGCTGACATTAACCACTGTTCATCATGGAAAAGCCTTGGTCCCACTCCTGCCTGAACATTCCCTCGCTGAGAAAGACTCTCACACTTTCTTCCTGACAGCAAAATGCCCAAAACATCAGTGGGATGCAAGACTTCAGTTTTTGGAGAATGAAACTAAATTCCCACAGAATAGAGCACTGACACTGACCTGTCCCAAAGGTCTTGACCCCTCCTTCCCTGAGGTCAAATGTACAAAGGAAATTCAGAGAGTGATTTCTGGAAAACCAGTCCATGTGGATGCCTGGTGGGGCAGGAACAGCACAGGTGCCTGGACACGCATTGAGAGGGATGTCCTGTGTATGGGTAAGTGAGGCTACAGCAGCTCTCCCATGTCTCCCCTCTACCCTCACCCTCCTTGGGTCTCTGTGCAAACTGCTGAAGAGGACAGCCCAGCCAGGAGACAACAGACCAGGCAAAACCACCTGGGCAAGCTGAAATCTCCTGCAGTGGTTCCTAAGTAGTCCAACTCTCGGGCTCCCAGCCAGGTGTTCAGGCCATGGGCAGGATCCAAGGCTGCCACCCAGATGCCCATGGAAGTTCCATTATCTTTGCTGTGTCTCCAGGTGCCACCCTGGAATCACAGATCTGCTTGTTCCGCTGCTGGCTTATGGATAAGGGACCTGGGGGACATTTTCTGCACCTGCAGGAACTGCAGCAGATGGGAATGAAGGAAGCACAGATGATGCAGGGCTGGCTCAGCCCTTGGCACTGGGACAGAAAGCTGTATGGGATGGACCTGGGAAAGGAGCAATGCTGTCCATCAGGGAATGGAGATGCAGAGCTGTCCCTGGCAGAGACAGACCTGTGCTCAGTGGGGGCATGGCAGTACATGGCAGTGCTCTGGAGAGATGCACAGGGAGACATAAGATGGGAATCTCCCTGCTTTGGGCTGTGGGAGGTGAATAGGAGTGTCCACAGTGAGAAGTGGTTGGTTAGAGGTAGATTCATTGATAAGTGATCCTTCACACTTTACAAGCACAAGGAAAGCCCTTTACCAACAAGGTTTGCCCTCAGGTCCCATCCCAGCAGACAGATGTGTCACTTTCCTTCTCCCTTCATTGCTTGGATGGGTTGCTGGGGATTTCTCTCCCACCACTCAGCCATACCCCATTTCATCACCTCCACCCCAAATAACACCCACTTTCACCTCTGACAGGAAAGTGTCAAAGGCCCCTGTGGAACTCCACCCTCCATCTGGTACCAGACCAGGAGAACTATGAGACAGATAAGAAAGTGAAGCTGAGCTGCCCTGAAGGTTTCCAGCCACCCTTCACTGAAATCCAATGTCAGACTCAATCCCAGTATGATTCTGGGAAACTGCAGCACAAAGAATGTTGGTATGGAAGAAACTCCAGTGGTGCCTGGATCCCCATTCAGTCCAGTCTGGAGTGCATTGGTAAGGGAGGGATCAGGAGCAGGATAATAATTTGCAGGGGAATATCCCAAGAACATCTTTGATGGGGGACAGCATGGGAAGGTCAGGATTTTTCCTTGGGCCCACCACTGTGAGGGTGGTGGCTGTGGAAGCAGCTCGGGCTTCCAGACCAGGAGGAAATGTCTCCTGTTGTGCTTTCCAATGGCACCAGAGGATGACTGCACCACATAGCTCAGAGGGTTTCTGGAAGGCAGGATCCTTTTGCTACTCCCTGGGAGCTATGATGTAGCTCAGCTGGGGACACACCTTCCTGTTCTTCCCTCTGTTCTCCCCAAAATGTCCTGATGTCTGATTGAACAGGAGCAGTTGTGTCACTGGAGAAATTCACCAATGGTTCACATTCCATTTCCTAGTGCACCATGACCCCAGACTCCTCCTGCTCCCCTTTGAGAGAGCTGCAGTGACAACCTTCACACTCTCCCTTTCCTTCCCATTGGGCTGGGTGATGAGCAAAGTTGTCTGACTGCAGCATCCTTGCATGTCTGGGGTGGAATGGGAATAAAGTGACCTTTTGGCAATCTTTCCTTCACAGAAGTGCTCCAGGTTGACCCTGAGACCTTTGAGATTTCCAGCACCAGCATCAAACTGAAATGGACCTGCAGGTTCCCTGATGCCTGCCAGGGCATGAGGGCCATGTGCCGGCTGGCAGAGCCTTCCTCCCCTCCCTGTGAGGCTGAGGAGGTGAATGAAGAGCAGATGTTACATGGCCAGGAGGGAACATTCACCTGCTCCCCTTTGCAGCCCTTCACTGAGTACAGTGTCACCATCGACCTGCCCTCCAGCTCAGTCATATACAAAAAGTATGAAAGGACAAAAGAAGTAGGTGTGTGTCTACCTCCGTGAAATACAAAAGTGCCTTTAACCCGTCAGCTCAGCCAGAGTATCTCTGCTCCATTCAGGGATGTGCCTGGGATCAGAGCTGCTTGGGTCCTGTGGAGCTCTGGGGAAGGGGCTGTGCGAGAGCCCTGAGCAGGGCACACCCCATTCTCATTGTCCCACTCCACACCACGCTGTCGTGCTTCCCATTGCTGCAGCACACGCAGCCTTTGCAGGGGACAAACCCTTCGTAGGGAGTCCCTCTGCAGCCTGTCCCTTGGCCAGGAGCTGCTGCACCCTCCTCTGGCCTCAGCCCCTGCTCATGGCCCTATGTGTGACCCCATTGTCTGTGCTTGCAGTGCCGGACAAACCGGAGCAGCTGTGGCTGGATCCTGACAGGGGATCTCTCAGGTGGAGTTCGCTGCCCTCCTGCAATGGGGAGATCATTGGATACCAGGTACCAAGGGACCAGGGCAGACCCTCACCTCCCAGCCTGGAGCTCTGTGCAGGCACATTGGGAAAGGGACAGCTGGGATGAGCCACAGTTCCCAGCCAGTAAATACGTGGCTTTGATGAGCACAAGCATTTTCTGCATCATTCTCAACATTCTTCATGCTGTGGAGATGCCCAGAGAGGTGTGAGTGCTCTGTGTTCTCTGGGCTTAATCCCTAGGTCTTCTTTGCTTTGGATTTGGCAGTCTTTTGGGGTTGCTGTGCAACACATGGTGACGTGTCTTCTGGGGCGGCATCCCAGGGTTTCCTGTGCTTCTTGCATACTTGTTCTGGTTCCTGCCACAGAAAAAGCTTGTGGCTTGAGTAATGCTCTGAAAGTCCCTCCTGAAAGCTCCTTCTCCAGAGAGCTACATTGTTCTGTTGAGTTTTCCTCAATGCCTGGCTACAAGCATCTCCTCTGTCTCTGAATTTGGGACACGTTCCACAGCAAAACTCTGCTCTCCAGCAGTGGGAGGGGGAATGTCACATTGTTCTCAGAATGCTCTAGGTACTCTCTGAGGACAGAGGTCTCCATGGTATGACAGGGACCTTGCAAGCTGTTTCTTAGCTCGGTCCTGGAAAAACTGTCACACAAGCTCTTGACAGCACTGTGAGCCTGTTCAGCTGGTTTCCTGCTCCCAGAAACCAGTGTTCTTAAAAAGAATCCTTTTGTTCCACTTTCAGTTGTCTTCACTTTTGCATAAGCCCAGAATATATTTCTGTAAAGACAGCAAGTGAGAATGGCCAGGACTCTCATAACAAATCCAGATGATGCATGGGCAAATGCAAACTCTTCATCTCCATTGCTCATGGAAACTTCAGCCTTTCTCCTTTTCTCTTAGGAAAAGCTTTCAGAGTCCAGCTTTACACAAGAGAAACGAGAAGCTTTTCTCTGGTGGAGTATGTCACCACGGTGCCTCCGGTGTTGCAATACACCTGGGGTGACCTCCTTCTCGGGCTCAGTAAATATATCTACAGGCCTTCAAAGAAGCAGCCTCCCCCTTCCCTTCTCAGAGGCTCAGCCCTTTGCTCACAGAGGTTGCTGCTCCCACATCCTCAGTGTTGGTTCCAAATTCCTCCTGTCCTCTTCTCTGTTTTGAGCTCCCCACTTGGGGCTCCTGCCCGTTCCTGTCCGGAGCCTTCCCCAGGCACAGCGGGCAGGCACAGGGAAGGGCAGGCTGGCAGGGACGTTGCCAGCTGCGGGCACCTTCCCAGCGGGCAGCCGGGAGCTGCTGCGTTCCAGCTGTGTCTCCTGTCCGCAGCTGAGCATCACAGCCAGGAATGCAGGGGACAGCAGCGTGCTGGAGACGGAGCGGCTGCGGCTCAATGGCTCCGTCACCGAGCTCCGGCTGCCGGGACACAGCCCCGGCAGCAGCTACGCCGTGACGATCCGGGGAGTGACGGCTGCTGGAGCCGGGGCTGCGTTGATGAGGGAGTTTCACGGCAACAGCAGCTCCGGTGAGCTTTGCCGTGTGGCCGGGCCAGGAGCCTGGGCACGGACGAGCCGTTCTCGGCAGCCTGCTCTGCCCGAGGCTGCCCCGCTGCTCGCCCAGCCTGCCGATGCTCATTCCCCGGCTGTTCCCCTGCAGACAGCCCGCGCCCCCAGGCCATCAGCTGCCGCAGCGCCCGCGACATCGCCCCATCGCAAGGCACGGCCGTGCTTCCCCTGCGCCCCATCGCCCGTGGCTCTGAGGCCGCCAGGTGAGCGCAGCCCCGCGGCTCCGCAGCCCCGCGGCTCCGCAGCCCCGCCCTGGCTCTCCCCCGCCGGCGCTGGCCGGCACTGCCTCCCTTCCGTGGCCCCGGGCCCGCGTCCCACCGCCTCTGGGCCCTGCAGGGAGCACCAGCTGATCGTGGCCGCGACGCACGACGGCTCGCTGATCGAGAGCATCTGCTCGGGGCAGCCACGGCTCTCCAACGCCAGCGTCTACCTGGCCGCTCTTCTCAACCTCACCGCCCCCACGGACTTCGTGCTGGGCGACGGGAGCCGCGGCCAGGGCCAGCACAACGCTGCCCTCCGCCCGGGCCGGGACTACACGGCCCTTCTGCGCCTCGGCCGCCTCGGCCCGCAGGTACCAGCGCGGGGCTCCTGCTCTCTGGGGATGCTGCCGGCCGGGGCTGCGCCCCTCGCTGCCTCTGCGCTGGCTGGGAGGCCACTCTCCTGTCCCGTGCCTCGGCACCATGGTGTCCCTGGGCTCCTGGGCCACAGCCGGGTCACTCGGTGGCCCTGGGTGGGGCCCTTGCCTCCCTCCAGCTGGGCTAGTGCTGCAGGAGTGGGCTGAGCTCTCCCTCCTGTCTCCTCCAACAGGCAGAGAAGTTCACCTGTGTCTGCTACAGCTTCTCTGTTGGTAAGTGTCTCCTTGCTCTTGGCGCCCAAGCTTCTCTCCTGCCTGTTCCCTTTTGCCAGGCTGGCAGCTTCCTTGGAAATGAGCTGACCCAGGGCAGATCTATTGGGGTATTGCTGTACTTTCGTCCTTACAGAAATTGTCTCTATGCTGAGGCCATCTATGTTTAATGGGCTGCAGTCATCCTCAGGACTCATGGATATGTGGGTCCCAGTGACCACTGAACTTTGCACATCATCCCTGCCATCACCTCATATTTAGTCCTAGTGCCAGTAGTCCCAGTGCCAGTAGTCCCATGGTGTATGTACAACCCCTAAATGCAGATACCTCATGTCCAGACCCCTGGGGCCTTCAAGGATACCTGTTCCCCAGCAGAGGGTATCACACCACAGAAATGCCTGCTTCTTTTGCTCTAGCTTAGCTTTTCTTTAATGAAAAGCCTGGGGTGGAAGACAAGAGAAGTTGCTTTTCTCTCCATGTCCCTGTGGGATGTCCCAATGCTTGGTTCAGGCTGTGCAGGAGCCTGAACCTGGGCTGTGCTTCTTGCAGGGCAGGAGCCATCATCTCTGCTGGACAGCAAGCCGGTGGTTATGGCAATAGCACTGACTGCTGCATTCGTGACACTGGGGATTTTGCTGCTTTTTGTGATCTTCAGGTCAGTATGTGCCTCACCTCTCCTGCCCCCTGTAAGGCATTCAGCAGCTTGCAGTGGCCTGGAGTGTCCAAGTGGAGCCTGAGATGAGGCAGGGTGGTTAGATGAGCAACAGCTACTCCTCTGAATCTCTCTTCTGCTGGTCTGTGCACCTTACTTGTTGTTTTGCAGGCTAAAGCACAACTGTTCAAAAGGCTTGGAGAACAACAGCACTATACCCCTGAGAGGATGTCAGAAAGGTGACGTATGAGCAAGGGCCCTGTGGTACCATAAGTTCCCTGCAGGAACAAAGTGATCAGAGCTGGCTGGCACAGGGAAAGGCACTCCTCCCAGAAGAAGGGACCTCTTTGGGAAGGGACAATCTAAGGTTTGGAGAAGTTCTGGCCACTGCAATGCCATCTCAGCTCCAGCTGCAGAGGTCCAGGACTGGCCAGTTTAGCACCAGTTGGATGCTGAAGTCCTGTCCTTGTGGTGTCTGCAGATGTACGCAAGCCAAACACAGCGATCCCAGTGGAGGAACTGCTGGAGGCTCTGAAGATGTTTAAGAGGGAAGAAATCGAGGCAGAGCAGACAGATGATGAATCAGTCAACAGGCATGGTGCTGGGCTTCTTAGAGAATATCAGGTCTGGTTTAGCTTTGCTTTCCCACCTGGCTGCACTGCCCACTCCTCAGCTCTTCCCTGATGTGTGATGCAGTTGGCCTCGGCCAGCCCCACAATACATCCCAGTGCTGAGTAGGCTTGTTTTCTTCCTTTGCAGCAATTGTCCTCCACTTTGTTGCACCCCTGCAATGCTGGCAAGGAGCTCTGTAATCAAAACAAGAACCGCTACAAGAGCATCATCCCATGTAAGCAGAGCTCTCCAGAGATTGGCTCAGGCTCTTGGAGCTGGCTGGGCTAGCACAGGATGCTGGGCTGGTGTAGGTTCCCCTCCAGCACTTCAGAAATACTGAGCTGCTCTTCTCATCCTCCTTAGCCACTGAAACCCAGAGGCATTTCTGGCCCCACTCTCTTATATCCTATTGGAGCATCCTTGTTCCACTCTTCAAATCCTCCTGCAAACTTAATCAAACATCATATTTCTGTTCCTGATGCTAGTCATCGCTGAACATTGCCAGGTCCTATCTAGAGGCAGGTATTTGTGGGAAAGTGGAAGGAGTGACCCAATTTCTTTCAAACTTTAAAGCTCCTCTGGGCCACACGTGGTGTGTACATTTGGTCATTTCAAATTCTTCCTTAAAACTCCATTGCGTTTCCTGCTGTGCCATGTCACCCTTTGTCTCTTCATCTGTTCTTTAACCCTGAACATGTCCTGAGGCCTGGGGTGCTGCTGAGGAGACAACAGACAATCACAGACATTAATTAATTACTCCTTCCCCCTTAATTAGTCCCTTTGTTGCTGCCCTAAAGCATCAGTCCATATCCCTTCTCTTTCAGATGATCACTGCCGTGTGGTGCTGCAGCCCTCTGACACTGGGAATGGCTACATCAATGCCAGCTACGTGGATGTAGGTAGTGAGGAATTGTTACCTTGGGACGGATAGGAAAGGTGCCTGGCTGTGCTGGGTGAGGACAGCCCTGCTCACAGAGGGGGCCCTGAGGTCTGGCACTTTTTGCCCTTAAGCTGGCAGATTTTGGGATGTCATTTCCCCTGAATCCTCTCGGAACTGCCTGGAGCAGTCTGGGTTTGTGTGCAGTTCTCATCTCTAACAAAAGGGACCCATGTGAGGGGGCAGGAACTGAGATGTAGCCCCTGAGTACCCACTGTCACTGCTGGTCAGGAGAGGTGCTGTGGGACACACTGTGCTGAGAGCTCTGGGCTTTGGTACCTGAGGGATGGATCCTTTATTTCATTCCCTGTTAAACATCTAACTCATGTGATCAGAACTGTTTGAATCTCCCCCCTGCAGACCTACCGAAGTCCACACTTCTTCATTGCAGCTCAAGGTAGGTGCTCCCAAACCTCCTGCTCAGGAGATGCCATTCACTGCCCTGAGCAATCTGGGAAATGGGGAACTGGGATAGCAGCCAGGGAGTTGTGGATGGCTCACTCCAAGTCCCTGTATCTCCAGGGTCTCTATCATGAACAGTTGTTACAGGTGCTACAGGGCATGGAAGGTCTCAATGGTAGCTTGGCAGCAGCTGGAGCTGGTGTCTGTACTGCCCAGTATGAAGACATGGTCCTCCTACTCACAAGCCTAGTTTGTTCCCTTTGGCAGCTGGTATGACAGGGACAATCCTACAAATACCTGGCATGTCTGCTCCCAGTGCACTCAGATGCAGTAGTGCAAAGCCTGGATGGATTTGTCTGGTCAGTGCAGCATGCAATGAGGAGGTCTTGCCTTCCCACAGAGCTGCAGAAATGCTCTTTGGAAAATAGGGCCCCAAATGTGGGAGCAGCTGATACTCATCTCAAAGGTCTGCATGCTAGAGCCCCTGAAGCACCAGTGAATCCCTGACATGGGCTCATCTTCTCTCCCTTCTCCTTGTTGTAATTTCTAACATGATGATGAAGTTGATGTGGCCAGCATTCCCATCAGTTGCTATGTTCCCTGGCTGTGCCTCTGTATCTAGGCAGAGGAAAGACTGGGAATGTCCAAACTGTGCCTGAGAATATGTCCCCATGGCTTGGACACTGACACAGGGCTCTCCTCTTCCTTTTCAAGGCCCCTTGACTGGGACAGTGGTAGATTTCTGGCACATGGTCTGGCAGGAGAAGACCTCAGTCATTGTGATGCTGACAGGCTTAGTGGAACAGAACAAGGTAGAGAAAACCTCTCAGCCCATGCTCAGCTTTGGCATTACCAGAACCCAGGCTTCCTCACATTCTGTGCTCCCACTGCAGCTGTCAGTGGGGACAGGGAGCAGCTCTGCACCCCTGCAATGCTCTCCTTGTGAGTTTTTCTTGTGCCCAGAGGTCTCACTACTGTTGACAGATCAAGTGTGAGCAGTATTGGCCAGAGCAAGAGCAGGTCTATGGTGACTTCACCGTGACACTCAACAACACCTGGACCACCACAGGCCTTGTAAAACGCATCTTCTGCCTGCAGAAGGTAAGCCTGGCATGGGGCTGAGGTGGGAATGCAGGATGTATTTGGGTTCCAGCAGCTGGTGGGAGCCTTCAGACATGGACCCAGTGAGGAGCCTGGATTCCAGCACAAAAAGGAGGGGTGTTAGCATGCTGCTATAAAAGGAATCCATTCCAAGGCATCAGTCCCAGGTTTCTGTGGCAGGCAAAGGTAGTCAGTCAGCTCCAGTGGTCACCCCAGATGAGTCTGAGGACTGATGTTGCACATGGGAATATTGTAGATTATTGAGGGCTTGGGTGAGGTGATTACAAGGGGTATAAAAGCAGATAATGGGTATAGAATGGAATCTCTGCACATCCAGGATGATGTGACAGGTGCCTGCCTGTCACCTGAATCAATCTGCAGAAGGTCCACACTGAAGCTCCTTGGTCACTTACAGCATTAAACCTGGGCAAGGTAGTTGATGGTTTAAGATAACCTACATAAGGTCATTTCCCAAGATGTGTGTTCCTGATAAAGTTACACCTCAGATAAAGGGCAGAAGGAGTTTGCAAGGAGGGAAAACAGGTACAATATAAAGAAATTACAGTTATGCATATTCCTGTCCTTTCTTGTCTTGCCCAGAGCAATATGTAGCTGAAACATAAAGCTCAAAGAGCACCTGATGGCAAGATGTAGCATTAGTTCATGCCAAGTGAATGTGATGTTTAGAGAAAATCACAATGAGCTGGTAACAAGTGACTAAATTCACATTAGTGTAGTAATAGCCTTAGGGTATATCTTTTCTGGGCCAGGCAGGGATTCGGTGACTGTGGAAATACCCTAAGCTGTGAGTTTTATCATTTTCCTCTGGGGCACAAGGCTTTTCCTGCTTTGCATTCACTGTTCATGGTGAAGCAGAGGACAAAATTAATTATGTGGCTGTGTGACTGATGAATCTGCCCTTTACTGTTAGAGGGGTTGTAGTGGAGCAGTCCTTATGGTGTGGTGCTGGAGGGAGCACTCTATGCTGGTGCCCTTCTCAAATGGCTTTTTCCACTGCTGCCTCCTTGTTGGCATGCAATCCCTTCACACAGGTTTCTTGGTCGCTTCCAGCTCCCTGTTGCCAGCCATGTCTCCCTTTTTGCAGGCAGGCTGTGCTCTCCCGAGAGCAGTGGAGCAGTTTCACTACCTGCTGTGGCCGGACCATGGGGTGCCCAGAAACCCATCGCAGCTGCTGTGCTTGGTGGAGGTGGTGAACAAGAGGGTGTTGGAAGCACCTGCTGGACCTGTGTTGGTGCACTGCAGGTGCCAGGCTGGGGGTGTTTGGGTGGTGGGGTACAGCCAGCAGGGCAGCACTAACATGCAGTTTTCTGTGTCCTCAGTGCAGGGATCGGGCGCACAGGTACCTTCATCGCCCTGGACTTCCTCTTGAAGATGGGGAAGGCTGAGGGGAAGGTGGATGTCTTTCACTGCGTGCAACAGCTGCGGGAGCAGCGGGTCAGCATGGTGCAGACCAAGGTGAGGAGAGGTATTTGCTCCCTCCACACCTCGGGCTGCAGATCCAATTTCCACCTGTGGGAGTCGACACAGGCAGGTGGCCAGAACAACCACAAAACCATGGCTGAAATGCCAAGAGTAAATTTATTGCAGTACCTCACTAGCTGGTGGATGCCAGCAGGTAACACATAAGTGGGAACATCAGCACCATCAGGCTCAGTCCCTCCTGGAGGACAGTGGGGCTGCTCTTCTCACCCATTTAACAAAGGCCTGTGCACGTGTAGTGTACCAGCTGGGCTGTGATCCCCTCCGTGTTTTTGTGATCTCTGGTCTTTGATCTGTCCCAAAACAGGGAGCTCAGCCGTGTTCATAACAATGGGTTCCAGGTCTCTGTAAACACCTACGTTCCCTCTACACAGGTTCTACTCCCCAAAGCAGACAGAGGATAAACTGTTGACTGTTTATACACAATACATAGGATTTCTCACACTGTCATTTTCCAGACCTTGGTGCTCCCAACTGTAAGGCCACTTAAGAGAATCCGCCCTGCTCCTTCTGAATGACAAGCCATTCTTCTGCTTTTAACCCTTTGCTGTCAACACCAGCCTTCCCAGGGATGTGGCATGCAAAACCACATTAACTATGCTGTTCCTGATCTAGCCACAGGGACTAGGGGCATCAGGTGATGGAGACTGAAGGATCTTTTTCAATGCTGTGTCCAAACCTAGCTGGAATCTGCATTTCCCTGAGAGTCTCTGAGGTATCAGCAGCATTTGTATGTATGGGTCATCCTGACACAGAAGGGGTGTCTTGTAGGCAAGGATAATGAAAAAGAGGCCACCTGTCCCTCTGGCTTTCAGGATGTCTGCCCCACCTCCTGGACAGCAGTGTCCTGGTCTAGGGACCATGTCCCCATGATCTGCTTAGTGCTGGGCTCCTTCAGAGAAAACTCAGTTGGGCTGGACCAACCATCCACAGGTTTTCTGGGCTGCCTTCCCCAGAGCAGAGGTCTGCTCTGAGAGTGAATATTAAACCTCACCAAGATGATTTTGTCTGAGTTTCTGGAGCTGCTGGCTGTGTCCCAAAGCAGGGCTACCTGCAATGAGAAGTGTCTGGCCTCAGGGATCCTCAGCAGGAAGGTGAAGGATGAACCTGGCTCACTTCTGGCACAGTTTGCAGACAGCTGGTGATCTGGAGTTCCAGGGTTCCTCCTGGACTGGCTCCAGACTGTGCAACTGACCCATGTCCTCATGCAGGAGCAGTACAGCTTCCTGTACGAGGCACTTCTCGAAGGCTTGCTCTGCGGCAACACCGGGATCCCAGTAGAGAGCATCACCACCCTCGTCCACTCCCTTCGAGAAGATGAGACCTCAGGCCACAACAGTGTCCTAGAGAAGGAGTTCAAGGTACCACCAGGAGACAATACACTGGCACTGTGAGGGCTCATCTGTGGTGCCAGCCCCCTCCCTGCTCCCCTCCCCAACAGTGGGATGGAGATGGGGGATCATTTATCTGCAGTGGCCCAAGGTGAGTTGCTGATAGGCAGGACTTGGGTGAATCATCTCTACAGGCCGTGCAGAGATTTTCTGAGTTGTTCCAGCTCCTGCCATGCAGAGAAGCAGAGAAACCCAGAAACCAGCCCAAGAACCGCAAGCCAGGGATCTTGCCAGGTAACACTGGGAGGGCTGGGCATCCTCTTGCTCTAAAAGTGGCACATGACACTGACAGGTTGGGCTCAGGGTCCAGTCATTGTTTTCTTCTTAGTAGATAATAAATACAGAATAGGCTGATTCCCTCTGAGCCTGTTGGACGTACATGAGGTACACCTGGGATAAATATGTCCCTGGTCTAAATTTTCCCAGTGAAGAAGCTCGAATGAGGCACATCAGGGAGCAATGAGGAGGGTGGATCAGCTGTGCCTCCAGCTTTAGGGATTTGAGCATCCCTTAATCAGGATGCCCTGAGCTGTCACAGCCATGGGTGTGGTGGTGCCTGTCCATTCAATCCTTTCCAACCCATGCTGCAGGGAGCTATGTTGACTGTGCCTGTTGCAGGGAAAGGCCCCTGCCTCTCTGTAGGGAGGGAACGACCCATTATTCCCCCTCTCTGCGCCTTGCCTCTGCAGCGGATTCCTGCCGGCCCATCCTGATGTCCTCGGTGAATGCAGACGGCTCGCCAGCTTACATCAACGCCGTGTTTGCCAGCGTAAGGCTCCGGCGAGAGTGGGAGCTGCTCGGGGCAGCGGGGACTCTCCTGCGCAGCCCCGATCAAGGCCAGGCTAGCGCATCCTGCTCGGGCAGAGTTGTCCCAGCCCTCGGGCTCCTGCACGGTGACTGCTGGCCCTGCTGCCAGGAGATGGCCCCCGCGGTCGCGATCGGCGGAGCCCTGCAGCGCAGCAGCGTGTGCCAGCCACAGCCTGCTGGGAGCTGAGCCCGGCTGTGATGAGCTGAGAGGGCAGCGGCCCGCAAACATGACCTGCTCTGAGCAGGGCTGGGGTGGCCTGTGTCTTCTCCATCTCAGCAAGGCGGGAGGGAGCCGTTCCCGCTGTGGGAAGGGCTCTCGGGGATTGTGGGACTGTCCCCACATGTCGTCGTGTCTTTTGCAGACGTACAGCGAGGAGGAGAGAATCATCATCACTCAGCTGCCTTTCCCCACCACGCTGGTGGATTTCTGGGCTCTGGTCTGGGATTACACTTGCACATCGGTAGTTGTGCTCAATCAACTCCAGGAGCTGGACAAGGTCAGCAGCCCAAGCACAGCTCTCCCCTCTCCTGGTTCCCTGTGAGGCCAAGCAGTGCGATTTCTGCCTTTGTCCCTGCATGGATCTTACCATGAGAGCCCTACTTGCACCAGAACCTACTGCAAGCTTGTGGGGCTCCACTTAGGAGAGCCCTGAGGACAGTGCCAGCACCACAGCTCCACAGCAGTGGGCTGTCCTCGGTCTCACTGCAAATGAGCATCCCTCAGGTCTGGTTGAACCCTACCCAGGTGTCCTCTCTGATAGAGTGTTATTTTCTGGCTGCAGCACTGGGTTTGGTTGGTGCCCAGAAAGTGTCTGGCAGAGACATGTGCATGCAGCTTATGGGTGAGGGGCTGGTGTGAGCCCACCTATGTGAGGAGCCAAGCTCTGCCCTGCATGCAGGTGGGGGCCATATGTGATCATGCACCTCTCACCCTCCCCCAGACATATGTGCAGTTCTGGCCCATCCAGGGCGAAGATGACTATGGCCGTTTCCATATCCAGCTGATCTCAGAGGAGCCTGGGGCTGGCTTCACAACCTGGACACTTGTCCTCAGCAACAGGCAGCAGGTGGGCCCTTTGCTAAGAGATGGAAAACTCCTTTAAGAAGAATTTTTGCAAGAGCTGGGAGGAGCAGATGTCAATAGGATTCAATTTGGGGTCAAAGTCACAGCTGTAGATGGGAGAGGAATCTGGTGGGGTCCTGGCAGGGCATAGCCAGAGCAGAGTCTTTTGCCTTGGCAGAGAGGTTAAACCCAAGAAAGTGAGGCTGCAAGCAGAGGTACAGCTCAGAGGTGTTTTTGTGTGCCTTTCCAATTGGAGGACAGCAGCTGTGGATGGAGTTTGTGCATCTCAGTGGTTCACGGAGGGGAAACTTGCAGGCAGCTGGACACAGGATTGGTGTCAGTTTGAGCTGCACCTGGTGCTCACCTCTTCGCTTATGCTCTGCTGCTCTCAGAGCACCTGATGGAGAAGAGCAAATTCTGGAGTGGCATGTCCCACTGTGGAGCTGCTCTCTTGATCCAGTGTGCATGGCTGAGCCAGGACTGGCAAGCACTGTCTCTCCCCTTCCCTCCATGAAGCCAATAGGTCTCTGCTCTGCTCAGCCCACTGTCTTCCCCACTAGCCCAAGAAATCTGCAATGGAAATCCAGTTACACCAACTGACAGACTGGCCCATGCAGCAACACCTTCCCCCACATCCTGGCACCATCATCAGCCTGCTAGGGAAGGTGGAGACACACCATCAGCAGAGCCAAGGTGGACATATCCTTGTCACCTGCTGGTGAGTGATGTCTCCTGGAGGACCAGCCATGGCACAGAGCTGGCCATAGCTCAAGCTGTGTCGGTTGGTGGCAGTTCCATCTCGGGTGGATGTATGGATATGAATTCAGCTATGTTAAGGGAGGGAGGCTCCCCTGTGGAGACTGGTTGGGCGTGGCATCTGTGGCCAAGATCATCCTGAGAGTGTGGGGGTCTAGGGGAACACCTCTGAGGCTCAGCCCTGCCACCTGCCATCGCAGAGCAAATGAAGCTCCCTTTGCCCTCCTCCACAGGGATGGAGCCAGCCGGAGTGGGATCTTCTGTGCTGCTAGTTTCTTGTGTGAGCAGATCCAAAGCGAGGGCATGGTGGATGTATCCCAGGCTGTGAGGATGCTGAAGAGGAGGCGGAGACAGTTCATTAAAAATGTGGTAGGTGCTAACTTCAAACCCAGCTGGGATGGCAACACCAAAACAAGAGCCATATCTTGAATTGCCTCAGTAGCTGCCCAAGCCCCCCTCAGATCATTCTGAGCCCAGATCATCCTGCTCAAATTATCCCGAGGCCGGGTGCTGATGAAGTCTTTGAAAACTCCATTTTCTGCTCCTGGGACATACCCACTCCCTCAGTGGCAGGTTCTGCAGAACTGAACAGGCACCAAAGCATCCTGCATGATGAGTGGCCCCTTTCTGGTCCACCTGCCTGCTCAACACTTTGTGTCGTGGAGGTTGGCTCTCCTGCCAAAACCAGCTGGTTCCAGTGCTGGTGCAGCCCATCCTTCCAGCTCCTGGAACACATACCTGGATTCCTCAGCAGGGGAAGGTGGACTCCAGCTGGGAGGAGGAGGGTGGACTGTGCCTGTGTCTGCCATGCTCTCTGTCAGGAAGCTGTTGGAGACCAATGATGACATGCCACTGCAGGTGTTGGTCTACCAGTCTCATGTGCATCCTTTTATCCACAGGAACAGTATGGGCTGTGCTATGAACTAGCCCTCAGTTATCTGAATTCATTTGAAACCTATGGGAATTTCAAGTAGGGGCATGACCACGGCCTATCTCTGGATGAGACTTTGACTCCCTGGACAGCCCTTCATCAGTAACAGTGGAAGCAAGAGGGGGAAAAAGGGATGTGCATGACTCCAAGATACTTCACTCACCTGGAAAATCACCCCAAGGGTCCTTTGTGATTGGAGAACACAGGCTAGACTGTCTTCAAATTTTGGCCAGGTGGTGTAATGGGAACCTGACCCTCTGCCCAGCATTTTGTGAAGGAACTTATCTGAATCACACCCTGAGTATGTAGACCAGAGCAGAAGCACCAGGACTTCACCTGTCCTCCCTTGCCAAGCATGAACAGAACAGCTGTCCCATCCAGCTGCCCTTGTCCCCTCAGGAAGCCCAGAGAAAGTGGGATAGCACCAACACCCACATTATGTTTGGTCAAAGAAGTCTCAAACTGTTGTAAGATCCATGGTGCTCAGGAGCACAGGATATCTGTCCTACTTTGGGAGAAGCATGAAGCCCAAAGTCAACAAGAGCCAAGAGTAGGACAACCCATGGTCCTGCAGAGCTAAACTGGTCCTTCAAACACACACAATCTCTTCCTGGGGCTGCATCTTCCTGGTGCTGCTCCAAGCGCCACAGCCCTACCAGCTCCATAGAGGCTCTCTGATCAGCCTGTGGCTTCAACATGGCAATCCTGGGTTACAGCGGCTCAACATGACTATCCTGGATGTGGTTCAAGCAGCATCACAGAAACAGGTTCTGTCTTTGCTGCACAAAGGCAGGAGTGACCCCATGGCTTTCTATCCTGTGTCTCACCAATAAAGGCCATGGTGGTGGTGACCATTGATCTTTGCATTTCTTCCAGGTTTGACCTGCCACAGGGGCAACAAGGGAGCTGAAAGCACAGAGATTCCACAGCATGGGCACAGAATACACTCTTGGCCAAAATGTGTGTGGAGGGCCATCACCTTTGATGGATTCCCACCACACATCTGTTCCAAAGTCACATTAGAGCTGTCCAGCTCAGCTCAGTACGTCAGAAAAGCTGTCAGACACCTCTAGGGCAATACAGGATCACAGCAGCCCTGCTCATGACTCCCTCTCAACAAGGCACTGTCAGCTCCCTACAGGGAAATATGACCCCAGAGGGGCAATGAGGGGACCAGGCAGAAGCTGTGTAGGACAGCTTCAATCCATAAGCCTTTATTCATTGTTGACAGAACAGGCAGAGTCACAAAGAAGCCCAGCCAGGCCAAGCAAAGCCCTGGGTTTGGCTGAATATCAGCAGAGGGGGCAGAAGGGGTGGAAACCCAGAGGACAGCAGGAGAATGCCATCAACCTGAGCCTGTGTGAGTCTGGGACTGGGAAATCCAGCATACAAGTCCTGCCTCCAGGAAAGCAAAATTGAAAGCAAAGCCTGAGAAAAGGATTACAGAATGCACGATTCAAAGGCCTTGCAAAAGCAGTAAGCAAAACCTGGGAGGTGAAGAAGCTGAGGAATGAAAACCTCAGCCCTCCTGGGCCTTCTGTTTTCCTCTTGCCCTGCTGAATTAGATGAATTTCATGGGACCCCCATGCTGGTCACAGTCACAGGAGAGCCAGGGGACATGGCAGCCATCAGCACTGGGCTGGAGTCATCCTTCCCATTTTTTTCATGTCCTCACTGCTCTGGATGTCTCTCCATGGTCCTGGCTGGGGCTGAAGTGACTGATCTCCAGCCTAGCCACCTTTATCTGGGGAGAAAAAGGGCACCCAAGTGTCAGAGACAGGTTGGAGCACAAGGCAGTGCCTCCCACAGCCCAACCCTTTCATCCCAGCTGTGCCCAACTGCGATGTTACATTTTAGTTAAATGGTATCTCTGTCTCACCCTTTGAAAATGTATGGTTTATTCCAAACCTGTAATCCTCCCCTGAAGTATCCTGTGTCTGTAATCCCATTGGCCCAGATCTTATTCCATGCCCACTTTGAATCTTCCTGTGCCGGTGTGACCAGGCTCTCTCTCTTACCCCGCTCTCTTGGCCGGTGCTCTCTCAGCCCCTCTCTCCCCCTCCCTCCCCCTTCCCTCCCTCAGAAACCATGCTTCTTCCCAGGGGTAGGACCCCCAATAAACCCTCATCTAATGAGCACCCTCAGAAGTTGTGTGGAGTCTCCTTGCCTGCCTGCTGCTACCAGCGAACTCACAGCTTGGGGGGCCCCCAAATACACCGCAACACCCAACCACAGGGCCCTGGAGGCGCCTGTCAGTGCTGAAGTGACCTGAGACCCCTCCTTGCAGATCCCTGGGAGGGATGGCACAGACATGGGTCACTCAAAGACCTGAGCCTTCGGGATGCCCATCTTTGCTCACCCTGTCCCTGCTCCAGGCAGGGAGCACTGCCTGGGACCAGGCTCTGCCTCCATGTGGGGCTCAGTGGGCAGAACCATCCTGACCATCCCCAGCTAAGGCAAATCAGGAGACATGGCAGTGCGGAGTACAAACTGCTGCTTCTCCTGAAACTCAGGTTCTCCTGAGAGATTGCTGCTCTCATCCCACCTGACCCATAGCCTGATGGTCCCTTCTTTGATGGTTGTCTGCAGAATTGCATTTTCCTACCTTTTTAATTATCCTCCTTAGTTTTGTTGGGCAAGTACTTCCTTTTCCTGGAAAGGCAAAGGAGAGTCCTGGGTAAGAAACTGGCATTGTGTATGTACCTGCTGAACCTGTCCCTTCCTACTCACCTGGAGAGCACAAGCCACAGGATGACTGCAGCCACAAGGAGGACAGCCAACAGCACAACCAGTCCAATCACAACCCCATGCCACTGGCCTGCAGTCTGTTCTGCAACTAACACAGAAGCAGGAATGAGTGCCACAGACTGGCCTCCTACTAGCAGTGGCCCCAAGAATGGCAAAGGGTATGCAAGTGTGTACGCTTGTGTCCTGGCTGAGGTTTCTACAGCAAGAGAGGATCACCCTCTGTGTGGGGATTTTGTTCTGTTCCATGTGAGACCCAAAAGCTCTTGTTGGGAGAGAAGCTTGGGCGCCAAGAGCAAGGAGACACTTACCAACAGAGAAGCTGTAGCAGACACAGGTGAACTTCTCTGCCTGTTGGAGGAGACAGGAGGGAGAGCTCAGCCCACTCCTGCAGCACTAGCCCAGCTGGAGGGAGGCAAGGGCCCCACCCAGGGCCACCGAGTGACCCGGCTGTGGCCCAGGAGCCCAGGGACACCATGGTGCCGAGGCACGGGACAGGAGAGTGGCCTCCCAGCCAGCGCAGAGGCAGCGAGGGGCGCAGCCCCGGCCGGCAGCATCCCCAGAGAGCAGGAGCCCCGCACTGGTACCTGCGGGCCGAGGCGGCCGAGGCGCAGAAGGGCCGTGTAGTCCCGGCCCGGGCGGAGGGCAGCGTTGTGCTGGCCCTGGCCGCGGCTCCCGTCGCCCAGCACGAAGTCCGTGGGGGCGGTGAGGTTGAGAAGAGCGGCCAGGTAGACGCTGGCGTTGGAGAGCCGTGGCTGCCCCGAGCAGATGCTCTCGATCAGCGAGCCGTCGTGCGTCGCGGCCACGATCAGCTGGTGCTCCCTGCAGGGCCCAGAGGCGGTGGGACGCGGGCCCGGGGCCACGGAAGGGAGGCAGTGCCGGCCAGCGCCGGCGGGGGAGAGCCAGGGCGGGGCTGCGGAGCCGCGGGGCTGCGGAGCCGCGGGGCTGCGCTCACCTGGCGGCCTCAGAGCCACGGGCGATGGGGCGCAGGGGAAGCACGGCCGTGCCTTGCGATGGGGCGATGTCGCGGGCGCTGCGGCAGCTGATGGCCTGGGGGCGCGGGCTGTCTGCAGGGGAACAGCCGGGGAATGAGCATCGGCAGGCTGGGCGAGCAGCGGGGCAGCCTCGGGCAGAGCAGGCTGCCGAGAACGGCTCGTCCGTGCCCAGGCTCCTGGCCCGGCCACACGGCAAAGCTCACCGGAGCTGCTGTTGCCGTGAAACTCCCTCATCAACGCAGCCCCGGCTCCAGCAGCCGTCACTCCCCGGATCGTCACGGCGTAGCTGCTGCCGGGGCTGTGTCCCGGCAGCCGGAGCTCGGTGACGGAGCCATTGAGCCGCAGCCGCTCCGTCTCCAGCACGCTGCTGTCCCCTGCATTCCTGGCTGTGATGCTCAGCTGCGGACAGGAGACACAGCTGGAACGCAGCAGCTCCCGGCTGCCCGCTGGGAAGGTGCCCGCAGCTGGCAACGTCCCTGCCAGCCTGCCCTTCCCTGTGCCTGCCCGCTGTGCCTGGGGAAGGCTCCGGACAGGAACGGGCAGGAGCCCCAAGTGGGGAGCTCAAAACAGAGAAGAGGACAGGAGGAATTTGGAACCAACACTGAGGATGTGGGAGCAGCAACCTCTGTGAGCAAAGGGCTGAGCCTCTGACAAGAGAAGAGGGAGGCTGCTTCTTTGAAGGCCTGTAGATATATTTACTGAGCCCGAGAAGGAGGTCACCCCAGGTGTATTGCAACACCGGAGGCACCGTGGTGACATACTCCACCACGGAGTATGAAAGAAGAAAAAAAGCTTCTCGTTTCTCTTGTGTAAAGCTGGACTCTGAAAGCTTTTCCTAAGAGAAAAGGAGAAAGGCTGAAGTTTCCATGAGCAATGGAGATAAAGGGTTCGCATTTGCCCATGCATCATCTGGATTTGTTATGAGAGTCCTGGCCATTCTCACTTGCTGTCTTTACAGAAATATATTCTGGGCTTATGCAAAAGTGAAGACAACTGAAAGTGGAACAAAAGGATTCTTTTTAAGAACACTGGTTTCTGGGAGCAGGAAACCAGCTGAACAGGCTCACAGTGCTGTCAAGAGCTTGTGTGACAGTTTTTCCAGGACCGAGCTAAGAAACAGCTTGCAAGGTCCCTGTCATACCATGGAGACCTCTGTCCTCAGAGAGTACCCAGAGCATTCTGAGAACAATGTGACATCCCCCCTCCCACTGCTAGAGAGCAGAGTTTTGCTGTGGAACGTGTCCCAAATCCAGAGACAGAGGAGATGCTTGTAGCCAGGCATCAAGGAAAACTCAACAGAACAATGTAGCTCTCTGGAGAAGGAGCTTTCAGGAGGGACTTTCAGAGAACTACTCAAGCCACAAGCTTTTTCTGTGGCAGGAACCAGAACAAGTATGCAAGAAGCACAGGAAACCCTGGGATGCCGCCCCAGAAGACACGTCACCATGTGTTGCACAGCAACCCCAAAAGACTGCCAAATCCAAAGCAAAGAAGACCTAGGGATTAAGCCCAGAGAACACAGAGCACTCACACCTCTCTGGGCATCTCCACAGCATGAAGAATGTTGAGAATGACGCAGAAAATGCTTGTGCTCATCAAAGCCACGTATTTACTGGCTGGGAACTGTGGCTCATCCCAGCTGTCCCTTTCCCAATGTGCCTGCACAGAGCTCCAGGCTGGGAGGTGAGGGTCTGCCCTGGTCCCTTGGTACCTGGTATCCAATGATCTCCCCATTGCAGGAGGGCAGCGAACTCCACCTGAGAGATCCCCTGTCAGGATCCAGCCACAGCTGCTCCGGTTTGTCCGGCACTGCAAGCACAGACAATGGGGTCACACATAGGGCCATGAGCAGGGGCTGAGGCCAGAGGAGGGTGCAGCAGCTCCTGGCCAAGGGACAGGCTGCAGAGGGACTCCCTACGAAGGGTTTGTCCCCTGCAAAGGCTGCGTGTGCTGCAGCAATGGGAAGCACGACAGCGTGGTGTGGAGTGGGACAATGAGAATGGGGCGTGCCCTGCTCAGGGCTCTCGCACAGCCCCTTCCCCAGAGCTCCACAGGACCCAAGCAGCTCTGATCCCAGGCACATCCCTGAATGGAGCAGAGATACTCTGGCTGAGCTGACAGGTGAGGGGCACATCTATGCACCCTGTGAAACAGCTCTGAATTGTTCCTTCTGTGCACATACCTGTTTCCTCTGTGGTGAACAACCATGAGAAAAGGGTTGTGTTGGGGAGCAGGTCGATGGTGACACTGTACTCGGTGAAGGGCTGCAAAGGGGAGCAGGTGAATGTTCCCTCCTGGCCATGTAACATCTGCTCTCCATTCACCTCCTCAGCCTCACAGGGAGGGGAGGAAGGCTCTGCCAGCTGGCACATGGCCCTCATGCCCTGGCAGGCATCAGGGAACCTGCAGGTCCATTTCAGTTTGATGCTGGTGCTGGAAATCTCAAAGGTCTCAGGGTCAACCTGGAGCACTTCTGTGAAGGAAAGATTGCCAAAAGGTCACTTTATTCCCATTCCACCCCAGACATGCAAGGATGCTGCAGTCAGACAACTTTGCTCATCACCCAGCCCAATGGGAAGGAAAGGGAGAGTGTGAAGGTGGTCACTGCAGCTCTCTCAAAGGGGAGCAGGAGGAGTTGAATAGGAATGAATGTGAATGAAGAAGTGGACTATTATTGCTCAATAAATTTTCCCCTTTGATTCAAAACTGAGATGTATGTGTGTCCCAGAATCTCTGCAATCCATCAGTTACAGCTCTGTTCTTCTGTGGAGGGAACTTGAATGTCCTAAGCTGTGAGAAGAGAGTTCTAAGCCTGCACCCACCCTGATGTGAACTTGGAGGGGCCCAGCTCATATGGAGCAAGCTGTGGTACTCACTGCCACACCATCTGAGAGGACACAGCCAGCAAAGGTCTTTGATCCTGCTCCAAGAGTGGTGCCATGTGCGGGCCACAAGCCTCACCATAAATCCCTCTCCGTTGCTTTTCTCTTTTGTGCATGTGCTCTTGCCTGAAGCCCTTAGGGAGACCCTTATCACCAACAGCCCCAGGGGTGACCTGCTGGCTGGACTTGACACCTGCCATGTCCCTGGGCAGCACAGAGCCCAAAACCTCCTGTGCCCCACACCCTGGTTTCCCTGCTCAAGAAGAGCAGAGCAAGGCAGCCAAGAGGGCTCCTGAGCCTTTCCTTACCACTGCACTCCACTCTGGACTGAATGCGGACCCAGGCACCTCTGGAGTTTCTTACAGTCCAGACCTCTCTGTAGACAGGTTTCCCACCAGTGAAGGACTGGACTTCGCTTGAACATTTAACGCGGGTGAAGGATGGCTGGAAACCTTCAGGGCAGCTCAACATTACTTCTTCATTCTTCTTATAATTCACCTGGTCTGGTGCCAGGTGGAGTCTGGAGTCCCACAAGGGCCTTTGGCACATTTCTGTCAGAGGTGAAAGTGGGTGTTAGATGGGCTGGAGATGATGAGATGATGAAGTGGGTATGCGTGAATGGGGGAGAGCAACCCCTCCATCCAAGGAAGGGAGAGGGAAGGTGACACATCCATCTGCTGGGATGTGACAAGAGGACAAGCATGGTTGGGAAGGGGCTTTCCTGATGCACAGAAATTGTGAAGAGTCACACATCCATGAAGCTGCCCCATTTACACTTGTGTCCATGGGCACCATATTCCCTCCTCCAAAGCCCAGACCAGGGACATTCCCAGAACAATCAGCCCTGCACCTGGGGACTCCCTCCAGCCTCTCATCCAGACCTGTCATCCAACCCAGCTCAGGTGACGCTTGCTGGGTCATGGCACCACCACTCCTGCTGGCATGCAGGGCCCTTCAGCCATGGCTCATGCCTCCCACGCCCCTGTTACACTCCTGTGCTCCTTGTTCTTACTCACCTGGTGCCTTGGCCACTCTCCTCCTGCCCCATACCGCTGGGCAGAGGGACAGGGGCTGAGCAGTGCCTTCTGCATTCACATCTCCTCCTTTACCAATGCCCTTGCCCCTTTCTCCTGACACAATCCTTCCTTCTTCTCATCACCTCCCCAACAAATTCACCATTCTCCAGGCTCAGTAGGCAGTAGCTGAGCAGCTAGTCCCAGCAGTTTGTCCAATGCTGCAGGGGGAGGCTCTGTGGCAATGATTCCTACAGAGAAGGATGCTGCCCCCCAGAAGGAGCCCTTGTCTGTTCAAGCCTCTGCAAGAAGCTTTGTGAGGCCTGAAGGGGTTTAAAATACTATCTGTCTTCTCCCAAAGGGGCACACAAGGGATCTCACAAGGTACAGACCAACTTTGCCACAAGGGGAAATGCTGTGACAAGTCCCTTGTGCTCAGGCTTTGCCGTCAAACAGCCCTGATGGCATAAGACCAGAGATGCCCAGCAGAGCACCACAAACAGCAGCTTTGTCCACTGGCACACGGCCATGTCCCTGCCATGCTCAGGCACCCAGCCACTGATCCTGCCCTGATCCATCTATCTGGCAAAGCAGCAGCAAGCTCCCTCTTGCACTGCCCTCAGCAGGAATAGTGTCCCTTAGGCACACCTGGGGATAGGATACGTACAGAAAGTGACACCTCCCTGAAGACCCTTCCCCTGATTGACAGTGTGTGAACTGATGCCCAATTCATGTCCACTGTCTCCAGGGAATGACTGGCAAACTGCTTTTCTGTAGGGCCTGACCTATCACACACATCCAGCCCGGTTCTGCCTCTCCCACAGAACCCCAGTGTTCACTGCATTGTAACTCCTGTCCCTGGGGGAGACAGAGGCTGCTTCGGCTGACACAGCCCACAGGGGTCCATCTAGGCTCCAGCCCAAGGCTGCAGGCAGTGAAGATGAATAGCCAACATAGGTGAGGAAAGGCAGCAGAAGCTTCTAAGAGGAAGAACCACTTCTTACCTGTTCCCTGGGGCACTATCTGGGTGTTGAAAAGTTCTTCCTGGCCATGTGCTGACAATAGAGATGTAAGGGCCAGGAGAAACCTCAGAGCCGGTGATTGGAGGGCCATCCTAGTATAAAGTCCCCAGGCAGGACTGAAATCTCAGTCACACTTGCTGCCTCTGAGTCCAGGCATCCGTCTCTGACTGCAAGGCTTGCAACCACAGGAAGGAAACAGACACAACTCCTCATGAGATGTAGGAGGCTTCCTCTTTGGGCAGGGAACCTCCCATCACTGTCACCACTTCTGGCTTTTGATATCTTTTTGCCCCAGGAGCACCCAAGCTCTAGGACTCAGCAGAAGGAACCTTGTCACAAGATCCCAGAGTTTCCTCCCAAAACCCTCCTAGTTACTAGGACATTCAAGTGTTACTCCTGTTACTGAGGTAGTATCCAAGTGTTTCCCGACACTGTGTGGGTTTTAGAGTGGTGATGACTCACTTCCCCTCAATGATCACAGGAGATGGAGGACCTTTGAGAATCTACATAAAGACCTGGTCAGAAGCACAGATAGGAGTGGGGACACAAACTGCAAGGAGTACTTCAATGCTTGAAACAGTCTGTAGCCCTTCTAAAAGAAACATTCAACCCACACCCTCTCTCATTCTTCACTGCTTCTCTATCCTCAGCTGCCTCCTCCTCCTGCTCCCCCTCAGCCTGGCAGCACTCTGCTCTGTCCCCAAGTGTGCCCTACAGTACCAGCTGTGTGCTTGAGAAAACACAATACTAAACTATGCCTCTTGCTCATCAGCAGCCACTGCTTTTCTTTTCCTCCAGAACCTCCCATCCACTTTGGATGTCTCAGATTTCAGAAGGCTGGGTGATCAGACATGGGGGGCTGCAGAGGCACAGAGACCATGCTTGTCCCTCAGCTTTCCTGTGGCACATGCACAGGACTGCCTGAGGTAAAGGATGCCCTGCTCATGGCTCCTCTCAACAAGGTGCAGTTAGCTCAGCGTCCACAGGGAACTGCACCTCACAAGGGCAATGAGGTGACTGGACAGGAGCTGGGAGCAGCAGGTAGCCTCATCCAAACCACAAGCCTTTACTGACTGTCTGCACAGAGCAGGTGGAGTCATGAGGCTGACAGCCCAGGATGTGACTGGGGATGGGGGGATGGACTGGGAAGCAGGGTAGCCAAGGAAGTGGCAACCATTCTCCCCTATCCCAAGCCTACTCATTCCCCTTTCTCAACCAGCAGCAGTCACACAGCATTGAATTTCTCTTGTCGTCTCTGCCCAACACCCACAAAGAGTTGCTCCATCAGGCACATATGTCACATCAGCAACAGTTCACAGGAAGGAGGTATTTTGGTCCCAGGGGCCAGTTGCAGGTACTGAGCTGATGGGCAGCCAGCTCATATGAAGAACTGTCAAAACATGCCTTTACCAGCACATGCAAGTCAAGCCAGGCTAAAAAAAAGCTGGAGAAGAGAGATGTCAATTGCTCTATGTTCTGACAGTGTACTCCTCAACAAGGAGAGCCTTCAGGCTGCCCCTCAGCCTCTAGGCTGCACTGGGTATTGGCATGTTTGACAGGGGAGAGAGATAACACTGAAGCTAAAAAACATAACAGTTCTGTGTTCAGGGCTGTAAAAAGCACAACCAGAACCAGCTTGTCACACCCAAGTCCAGGGAGCTCAGGAGAGCCTCTGCGCCCAAGGGCAGGAGAAGAAGATGGAATCATTACAGGCAACACACAGAGCTGGAGGAAAGGGAGGTTGATTGCCCCATTTGCCAGCAGTGCGCCCCTCACCAAGGAGAGCCTTTGGACTCTCAGCATCCAGGCTGCACTGGGCACTGGCACCCCACAGGATGGGGGACAGTGGCTGTTGGAGGGGATGGGACAGCAGCAGCAGCCAAGAGCCAGCAGATCCCAAAGGCTGCAGGACACAGATGTCCCAAGTGGACCAGTGGCAGCTGTACCTCACAAAATGGGAGATGAGCACCAACACCCACAGAAGAGGACACAGACCAGCACAGAGGCCCAGCTGTGCAAGTGGAGGTGGCATTACCTGTAGGATGGGGAGGAGGGAAAACAGCCACCCAAAGCATTGCACTGGGAGCATGCAGCACCTCAGGTGTGCTTCCTTGGAGTTGCCAGCAGATGGAAAAGCCTACTCCAAGCTCCTCCATGAAGATTCATAGAGTCAAGGCTTTCACACACAAAACAAGGAGGACCCATGACAAGGTTGGAGCTTTTGTGGGCCAGGCAGCCCCTGCAAACAAGAACAATTTATTGGTTGTTTCAGACACAGCAGCAGAGTGGCCAGGGCAGCACAGCTAGGCTAAACTCAAGAAGAGGACAGGGTCTAGATGGATACAAGGACACAGGCTGGAAAGAGGAGTTGTGAGCTCATCCAGTCTCAAGGAACATTTGCAGGCACCAAGGTACTGGTGAGATAGCTATGCCAGAATACTGGAGAACTACCAGGACATGCCCTTGCTGGCACAAGCAGGTCATCCCATGCCTTAAGCGGTTCCTGTGCTGTGGCAGAGGATTCTGGAGCTTGATGAAGAAGAAAATTCTGGGGGTAGCAATAACCCATGAGAAAATTCATTGTCATGCTTCTGGTGGTGGAGGACCAAGCCTTGAGAAGGGAAGTGCCATCATCATTGAGCCTCAGATGTCCACTCCTCTTCTTCCTCACTGCTGACTCTCCTGAACAGGCAGCAGCTTAGGAAAGGGCTCTCCAGCCTGGCCATACTTACCTGAGGAGAACAAGAGAATCCAGGGCAGAGGCTACTGCATGCCCTTGGCAACATGATGAGCTCAGACACACCATCAGAGCTGGCAGTCCCCTCTGTGGGCCATGTGAGGTCACAGGCAGGACAACACATTTCCTACCTGCATCCTTCTCAAGAAAAGTCTCGATCTTGCAGTAATTATCCCCATGTAAATTCTCATAGGGCTGAAGGTCTGGGTGGGACAAAAGGAGAGAAACAGCTTGAGGGACCTGGGGGCTGTGGAATGAGCAGGGCAGCCTCCGGCAGGCAGCATCACTGGTGGCTACAGATCATCTTGGGATGCACACCATCAGGATTGGGAAGAGCTGCTGCCTACCCCAGAGTGAGTGAGAAAGAGGAGCATTGCCCAGCCCTCGCTGGCACCTCAGAGGCACCACAGCCAGGAGCTGCTGGAAGAGGCCACTGAGCAGGGTGTCAGCTGGGAATAGATGTGGGATACTTTGGTCTGACAGGTCAGCCAAAGCCAGCTGGGCTGCCTGGAGCTACCTCAGAATGCCACGGGGCCCTCCTGAAATACACCTGCTCCCCTCCCAGCTCCAGCCCCACAGTCCCCTCTGTGCTGGGGATCCTACCTGTGTACTGATCCTCCTCGGCTTTGCTGGGCAAGGCCTTCTTCTTTTTTCTGGGAAGGCAAAGGGCAGTCCTGAGTCAGGGAGAGGCTGACCTGGGCCAGACCCTGCTGAACTGACCAGCAGTGGCATGGAGGGTTCTGCACACCCTCCCTCTGCCCTGACAGGCGTCACCCACCTACACCCCAGGGGACAGCAGTGGGGGAGCAGTGGGGGCTGCACAAGCAACAAGGGGAGAGGGTCTCTCAGCACACATGGCCCCATCCCAGCCCTGAAGAAGACACTGAGAGCCCCAGCTAGGAACCCTAGAGCAAACTTGTGTTAGGACCAGGCATCTGCATTCGCTAACCCATAGAAGGGTGGGAGCAGCTGGGGAACCCTCTCTATCCCCACCCACCCCACAGCACCGCATGGCCTGAGACAGAACCGAGACTCCAAATCTGCAACTCACCTGAACAGCACGAACCAGATGATCCCAGCAGACAAAGGGATCAACAGCACCACTACCACCACTACAGTGACTGCTGACCCAGGCCAAGGGCCCAGAGGCTGCCCTGAAACTAACACACCGAGAGGAGTGAGTGCCACAGCCTGGGCTGTGCACCAGCAGTGGTGCACCAGCCTTGCTGCTGGGTGTCTGCACGTGTGTAGAAATGCTGCCCTGACTGCTGCAGGGACAGGCAGCAAGCCTTCCCTTGCCTGTCTTCTGCTTGGGCAGGGCAGAGGGAGGCTCTGGAGCACAGAGCCTTGTCCCTGTTCCAGCTGGAGGGTCTGGCAGCCTGCTCAGCCATCCTGCACACAGCAGGAGAACACAGACCCAGGCTCAGTAGCCCTCATGCTTTCTGACCTTGAGCCACCTGTTCACCCAAACGCAGGGATGGGTGTCACTTTCTTCAGTGGAAGAGTAGAGAGGGCAAGTCTGGTATAAAAGGCACAAATCATGGCTGAAGCGGTGCAGCCCCTCTGCAGACCTGCCAATGAAAGCCCTCAAGGAAAGACTCCCCCAGCTTCATGCCCACTGCTGGGCCAGGTGACCACACTCCCTGCCCCTGCCTGAGCTGGGACAGGTTGGGTCCACACACAGGTCTGGAAGTTGCTCCACACTCAGCACTCACCCCTGAGAAGCCACCCCAATCAGACACAGGGCAGAACAACCATTACCCAGGATGTAGGTTTGGAATTCCAGCTGTGATGCAGCCCCAGCCCCAGCTGCCGTCAGGCCCTGCACTGTCACCAGGTATTTGCTGCCAGCTGTCTGATGAGGTGGCATATACTCAGAGACAGACTGGTTCACCAACACCTGACTGAATTCAAGGAAGCTGCCGTCCTCTGCTCTCATGGTGGTGATGTTCAGCTGGAGGAAGGACAGGGAGCTGCTAGACAGTAGCACCAACATCCTGGGCAGCTCTGTGGAGAGGGGCTGCTACTGCTGGCTGGGCACAAGAGGGGACCAGGCCCTACCAGGAACACCAGCAGGGTACAGCCCGTGGGCCCTGGCCAAGGAAGGCTCCCACCTCTCCTCAGGCTGTCTGCACAGAGCTCCAGGCTAGGTGAGGGGGACCACAGGCACTCCATGGACTCCCAGTACCTGGTATCCAATGATCTCCCCTTTGCAGGAGGATAGCGCCTTCCACCTGAGGGACCCCGTGCTGTGATCCAGCCACAGCTTCTCTGGTTTGTCTGGCACTGGAAGCACAGGAGAACTGGATCATGACTGGATAGCAATTATTTGTTCCCCACAAAGGATGCTTGTGCCTCTGCAGAAATGGTGTGGTGAGGAGGGGGAACTCCGTGCTGTAGGGCCCTGCACAGCCCCTTCCCCAGATCCCCACGGGCTGCAAGCAGTTCTGATCTCAGGACCATCACAGCAGGGAGCAGATGCTCTGGCTGAGCTTCAGGGTGAAGGGCATGTAAACATACCCATTTCCTTTGTCCTGATGAGCCGTGTGTACAGGATTGTGCTAGGCAGCAGGGAGATGGTGACACTGTAGACAGTGAAGGGCTGCAGAGGGGAGCAGGTGAACATTCCCTCCTGGCCTTGTAGCATCTCCTCTACCTTCACCTCCTCAGCCTCACAGTTTGAGGAAAAATGCTGCTCCAGCTGGCACCTGGCCCGAATATGCTGGCACATATGAGGAAGCATGCAAGTCCAGTTCAGTTTGATGCTGGTGCTGGAAACCTTCAGGGTCTCAGGAACAACCTGGAGGACATCTGTGAAGGGAACATTCCAAGAGGATCACTCCCTCCCTTCCTCTCTCCCTGTCCAAGCCTTGACATCAAACTCCATCAACCCCACCATTCCCTCACTTGCCTGTCCCCAGCACAGAGTAGACAAGGACATTCTGCCTTCTCCCAGACTATACATGCCAGAGCTGCCAACAGCACAGACATAAATCTGGGATGCATCCAGAATTTTCTCTGGATTTCTCTGCCATACCCTGACCACCCCAAGCACAGGGCATTGATGCTGTGCCACACATGCAGAATTGCTCTCCATGGCTGGGGGAGACAAATTGAGAGCACTGGAGAATGTCTGGCTTGCTCACTTACCCACACAGGTCAAGTTCCCTTCCATAACGTGCCAGGTGTCTGTGCCATTCCTCACTATCCAGCCACTACGAGGAATCGTGGAACCTTCCCTTGGATTCAGTGTCACACATTTGATCTCCATGGGTGGAGGCCAGTACCCTTCAGGACACCACATCTTCACCACTTCATTTGGGTTGAAGGTCCCCTGTTCTTGGTCAAAGATAAACCTGGAGTCCCACTGGGGCTTCTGGCATTTTTCTGCACCAACAAGATGGGAAGGTGTTAGCTGGGCAGTGTGGCTCTGCAGGGCATGACAGGGAATGGAGCAGGGCATCCCCTTCCCTGATCCATCAAGGCAAGAGGTGAGCTCCAGGACACTGTGCAGAGCAGCCCTTCCACATCAGTTTTTGGCAAGAGGATGAGGACAAGAAGGACTCCAAACATCTTCCCCCCAGGCCTCCTGGGAAGGGCTAGGAGGAGCTGGAGTCAGGGACTGAGGGGAAACCACGTGGGGTGTGTACACAAAGCCTGCCCAGAGACTCTGGTGCCCTCTTTGTCCCTCAGGCAGGATGACAACCCCCTGATTCCTCCTGAGAAGTCATGAAGTCTGAGTCCCAAAGCTGGCACTGCAGTGACAGCATGGAGCAGGCACAGGGAGAGGGAACCAGCACACGAGGAGGAGGACACACCTTTACCCTCGTCCCTTGTGCCACCTGTCAGACCTACAACATTGTACTCCTGACTTTCAGCACATGCTCTTGCCAGAAGCCCTTAGGGAGACCTGTGTCTCCCACATACCACCCAGCCCCCTGTGAACACAGCCTGAAGCCCTGCATGGCCCCTGACCTCCTGTGCCATGGGCAGTGCTGGTTACTGCCAAAATGGCTACTTTGGTATCAAGGCAGGGACCTTTGTACCAAAACTCCCTCCTGCCAGGACCTTCAGGGACTAAAGCTGGCATCGGCCATCTCCCCCACCAGGGCACCCCTGGAACCCTAGGGCAGGCACAGAGCAGACTCAGGAGCTGCCTTGACAGGGTCTTCAGCACTACCTGCCATTTCCCCAGGCAGCACAGAGCCAGAAGCTTCCTGTGCCCCCACAGGCTGCCTTCCCTGCTCAGGAAGGGCAGAGCAGGGCAGTCAGGAATGCTCCTGATGCCTCCTTACCAAGGCACTGTACCCTGAACTTGGGCTGAATGTTGATCACACTGCCTCTGCTGTCCTTTCCAGTCCAAGCTTCTCTGTGTATAGGTTTTCCATTGATAACAGACAGAACTTTTCCTGCACATTTGATATGGGTGAAAGGTGTCTGGAAACCCTTGGGACAGCTCAGAATCACTTCTTCGTTCTTCCTGTAACTCTCCTGCTCTGGTGCCAGCTGGAGTCTGAAGTCCCAGTGGGGTTTTTTGCATGTTTCTGGCAGAGGTGAAAGTGCATGTTAGTTGGGCTGAGAGGTTCCAAGGAGGAGCAGGGTATGTGGCGGGGTCTCAGCAATCCCCAGCAGTCCCTCTAGCCAATGAAAGGAGCGGGAAGTGACACATCCATCTGCTAGGATGGGGCACCTTTGCAAGTCTAGTTGGGATGGGCTTTCCTTATGAGTGTCAGCTGGGGCTGGGGCCTGTCCAGGCAGGTGGTGGACAAGGATGTGCCAGAATTCAATAGGGGAATGGTCTGAGGTATCAAATGCCTAAGACCCAAGCGGCCCCGACATGGCATCAGAATTGCATCCCTGACCACAGTGATGATGGAAGCTTGGAGATGGATGGACAGGGCATAAATTGACCACAGAATTCTGTAGGAAGCATTTCCTGACACCCTGCTTACCAATGCACACTATGTTCCCCTGAACTTGAATCCACACACCACTGCTGTTTCTCCCCAGCCACACTGGCTGATAATTCAGTGGCTGAACCCTATTTGCACATTTGACATGGGTGAAGGACGGCTGGAAACCATTGTTGCAGCTCAGAGTCACTTCTTCATTCTCTGTGTAACTGTCACGGGCTGGTGCCAGCTGGAGTCTGGGGTCCCACCAAGCAGGCCTTTGGCATGTTTCTGTCAGAGGTAAAATTGGGTGAGGAGTACTTTTGGGACGTTATGAGAGGAGACATGGGACGGATCTCTCATGACTCTGACTATTCACCCCAACACATACGAGTGTCATGTACCCAGACACTCTCCAAGAACACAGGGCTCCTTGTTACCCCATGTCCTGGACTCACAAGCCTCCCTTGGATTCTGCCCTCTCCATGGGGCATTTGAGCCCCCATTTTCTTGTCTCCCTCATGTGCAGGTGAGCCATGCTGCAGTAACAGCCTCCCACACCAGAGACAACCCAAACCTTTGAGAAGCTTTCCAGGCAAAAAAGCAGAACCCCTGCAGCTATTCCTACTCCATGCTGAGGCAGGAGATGCTGGCTGGGAAGGATTCCTCTCCCCAGGAGCACAGAGCCCAGCAGGTGCCTACAGCAAGGTGCTGAGACAAAGAGAGCATTGTCACTGCCAGGACATGGGGGAAAGCCAAGGCATCCAGGTCTGCCATTCCTGCACTGTCATGTGCATGACCAGGTCACAGAGAGTCTGTCACCAGCTCAGGACCCTGGGTCACGGTGGTGCAGGGCTGTGCTTACCCTTGCAGGTGGCAGTCTCATTCCACTGCATCTGGGCCCCTCTGGAAATGCACTGGATCTGCCGGACAGATGGCACAAACTCCTCAGCACAGCTGAGCTGCACCACTTCATTCAAGGCATAGTTGCTCTTCTTTGGCGTAAACTGCAGTTTGGAGTCCCAGTCTGAGGGAGCTTCACATTTTCCTGTGTGCAAAGGCCAGGAGGCAGAGCCTGAGGGTCACTGGGCTCCAGCAGCATCCATGAGGATGAGGGAGCTCTATGTGGAGGGGTGCCAATCCCTCTCTGTTCAGAGAGGTGGCAGAGATAGCACCTCCCCAGATGAGACCCATCTCCCAGATGCTTTATCCCTCCTCACACCCTCAGGGGCCGTGCAGGAGAGTTATCCACAGGGTTATCCTGCCCACCCACTGCTGCAGAGACAGCCCAGCCAGAGGGATCCAGCAGCCGGGGGGATGCTGCTCTCTCCCACAAATACAGGGGCTGGGGGAGTGCACCAGACCCAGTGAGTCTCTGCTGCCATTCCAGACTCCACAGCTTGGTCCCCAAGAAGTGACTGCCAGCAGCAATTGTAAATAATAGGAGTAAAGTTGCAGGTAACAAGAGAATGAACCAAGCAATTCTGCAGTGGAAGCAGTAACTACAGGAATGAAGCAGACAGAAAATGAATTGTCTGAGTCCTTGAAAGGGGAAAAACAAAAAAAATAACACCTTTATCATCCAAGATGTTTACCTGTGAGCTAGAAAACACCCAGTTTTGATGAGTTTTGTTATGTTATTCATCACCCTAGTGATGAATCCTTGCTCTTAATTTTAGTAAAAACCCATATCCTCAGTTATTTGACGCCCTCTCTCAAAAAGACCACCACTCTCTTAGCATGTACCATGATTTCTTGGAACACTGTGCTTTTACAGTGAAGAAGGGAAAGGATGAGTCATAGTAACGCAGGCAAGCAGTGACTTCAGTAAGGTATACTAATAGCCAAAGACTGTGTCTCTGTCAGTATATATGCTTTTGTCTGCCTCAGTGTGCTGGCTGTGTGGATTTGCCACCCAGCACACTTTTCTGTGCAGAACTGTAAATAAATCAAATACCTTGACACTCTCTGTGTTAATCAGCTTTTTCCACATTGGGTGAAAGAAGCTGTCAATAGAGTGTGTCCCTCAGACAACGTAAGTTCACACCAATGGCCACAAACCTCATACCCTGCTCAATGCACTCAGCCTAGCCTCTGCACATCACCCAAAATGAGCCTGCCCTGTCCTGCTGTGGTGGACATGTCACCTAGACTTTCTCACTCAGTGCAAAACAAGTCCATGAGAAGGCAGTGGGCATGGAGCTGGCCTTCCCTGAAGGGGGATAAAACGCCTCTCTTCAGCTACAACTGCCCACTTCCCACCAGCCAGCACTCACCACTTCCCTTTTCTGGCAGCAGGTTTCCACGCCATCATGGCAAACCTCGTCCCAGCTCCCCACCCCAAAGGACAGTGGCCACCAGCCCCTTTTAGACCACATCATGCAGACATGAAACTTCTTCAGTGTCTCTCCCAGTGCCCTCAGATCACACACCTCACTGACAGAAAACTACCTGACAGACAGGAAACCCTTAACTTTGTCCCAGCCTCACCAGGCACCCCCCTCACACACCTTCGCCCCTTCTGCCATTAAACACCCTGAAGTAACACACACCCTGCCCAAGGGTGACATCCAGGATCCTTTTGGGTCAGTAGACATGAGTACAGACTAGGGAGAAGAGGTTCCATCCTGCTCTGGACAGCTGAGAGTTGTCCACTGCTGGAAAGGCAGCATCCCTTGAGCCGCCAGTGATAGGCAGCATGACTCACAACCTCACAACCCATCTGATGATTTGGCTAGCCACTTCTGCTCCCATTTCCTTACAGAGAGAATACTTACAGATCATCCCCTAGCCATGCCATACCCCATGGGGACCTCAACAGGTACCAGCAAGCCCAGGGCACAGCATATAATCACCACAGGAAAACTCACATTCTTTGTAGGAAGAGCCTAGCAGAGACACAGGAGCTGCCCCTAACTCTGTTGGCATGGAGAAAGACTAGAACAAGCCTCTTGATGTGAACAATCCCACCAAACTACAGTTCCCTCAGCCCCAGGGACTATGGGAGAGAGCAGGCATCACAGCTAAGAGAGTTCAAGTCTTTGATGATCACCATCATCACCTGTGACAGGAGTGCTTGAACTACCTAGAAAGGCCATCACTGCTCTGATTGCTCTGGATTCATCTCTGTGCTGCATAACAAGACCCAGCCACCTCCTGCTCCCAGCAAAGCACTACCCACCTCCTAGAGGGACACTGCAAATCCCATGGAAGTTTCCCAGCACATCAAGGCTTGCTGCCCTCCATCCCAAATGGAGGTCTGTCCCACCACAACATGAAGGATGCTTGAGTGTCTCAGGCATATGCAGATACCTGCTCCAGCCCTCTCATAGCCTCAGCTGCAGGCCAAGCAGGGTAAAGCCATGTAGCAAATGCACAGGTAGAGGAGCAGCAAAGTCATTTTTGTAAGAGAGATGCACAATCCACTCCTACCTGCTTCCTGATATACCCATGGATTCTCCGGATCGTGGCGCTTCTGTCCCAGTGCCAGCAGCAGAGGAGCAAGGGCCAGGAAGAATGTCAGAGCCAGTGCTGGCAGGGCCATGCTGGCATGAAGTCCCCAGGCAGGACTCGGCATGAGCTGCTCAGGAAAGGTGTCTGCGCAGCCCTGCACAGGAGAGGCACTCACACAGAAGTGAGACAGCCCCACAGGGGAATCACATGTGGTGCAATAAGCTTCCTCTTTGGAAAGAGAGCGTCCCACCAGCCTCAGTGTTGATTCTCACACGTCTTCCCACAGACAGTGGGTACAGGCTCCATGCAGTCTCCCAGGTGTCTTAGTCCAGCCTTTTCCCTCGCTACCGCAGGCTTCCATAGCCCTGCTCCAAAATAAGCACCTCCAAAACCTTCTCAGGTCTGTCTCTCTCCTTCCAGATCCAGCAGAGGATGTTGAGGAACACACCCCTGATTAATGTGCCCAAGGCCACCCTAGAATGCATGCATCACTTTCTCTTTCAAATCATGGAATGATTTATGTTGGAAAACACTTCTATGATGATCAAGTCTAACCACTAAGCAAGCACAATAAGCCCCCCACTAAAACATGTTCCTAAGTACCATATCTACATATATTTTAAATACTTCTAAAAATCTTTCTTATTACCTTGAACTAATGCAGCTGCAACATTCTTGCTGTTGAATTCTGTCACTAGAGTTTCCACATCAGACAAGCTCCTGAACCTGGAAGTGTTCTCTTTTCATTTCTTCTCCAAACCTTTCCTGCTCTCAGCTGCTCTTTGTCAGTGACTTTTAGGATGGGAAGCACTCAACAAGGACAGTGTGGACAGTATGGGTATAAAAGGGACTCCTTGGAGATGGATGGAGGCATCTTGTTCCTTTTACTGTTGAGCTCAGGTAGGGTCTTTGGGTTTGGGAAAGAATTCCCTAAGTGCTCTTCATTTGGGGACTCACACTCCCCCAGTCTCCTGTCCCTGCAGATGTCACCACCAAGCTCTTCTCTGGAGCCTCTTTTCAGCTCACAAACTCTTGGACAACTTCATGTCCTTGTGTCCTGACTCCCTGTGCTGTTGCAGCTCTCCTGGGCCATTCCTCTTTCAACTCTGTGCTTTACAGAATCCCTCTCCCTGTGTTTTGCTAGATAGACAAGCACAAATGCCCTATGGTGCAACACTCTCTGTGTTCTGGGAATGGATGCTGTCACCCAGGGTGTTTCTTACCACTCAGCTGGAACTCATTAGCCCTCAGTTCCCTAGGAGATCCCTTCCCACGAACCACATCCTCAGGACACTGCTTGGTATATCTATCTGTATTATCCCTGTAAACCAGCAACACTGAGGGCTTTCTGTAAACTAGATGTCTCCGAAGATCCATTTGGGAACATCATTACATCAAGTCCAGCTGTGTCACATGCAGCTGTTGTGAGGTAAATGAGTGAAATCTTCTAGAAAGCTCTCAGCAAGAGGAACAGCAGCACTAAGTCATGTCCTCCTTGTTTCCTTGGTGGATCCCTGTCCTTTGAGAACAAGGTTTTTCTTGTTCCTGTGCAGTAGAATGGGCACACCCAGCACTCACTGGGTCATGTCTTCATAAAATCCCAGAGTTAGACACCGACACTCTCACTGACTCTCTCTTGTATGTGAAAGAAGCAAAACCAATGGAATTAAACAGTCAAGCTTGAAAATTTCACAAGTGGTAAAACAAGCTTCCTATTGCCCCTGATGAGGTTATTTCTTTTCCCTGGTCCTAAGGCCTCAAAATCTGTGTTTGGCCTCTCCCTCCTTAGAAATTTATCATTGTTTTGAGATTTGTTCATTTCTTGGTATATAGCATCCATTAGAAAAATGCTGAAGAAAACTGAAAGTCAGCACAGTCAGCTATATTCATTGAATTCAATGTCATTGCAAATGTGATTGATGGGCTGTTTCCTGGAGGACCGTTCGGTTGTCGAAGAACTACTAGGACTCAAACTTTCAGACTGAAGAGAGAAAAACCCAAATCACCTGAAATTTACACTCAGATTTACTTCTGACAGAGAAGAGCACTGGGGGCTCAAAACTATCCACAAAACCACAAGGAAAAGGAGAAGTAACTGTGGCTTTTGAGAATCAGGCTTCATGGAAAGCTCTGCTAACACAGCCACCATGTTCCTCTATAGTAAAATCTTTTACTGTGTCAAAACTCACAAACAACACCTGCATATTAGGGTCTTATTCTCCTTCCTAGATCACACCTGTCCCAAGGGAACCCACTGTAGGTTGTACCTATAGATGGTGGTGTCAGATGATGGTCAGGTGATGGAAGTGGGCTACAGCCAGGCTGGGATGTCAACCCAAAGCTGCTGGGTCAGGCTCAGGCCTGAGGAGGGTAGCCTAGTCAGATCCATCCCTGAGAAAGACAGGAAGGGGTCTGTTCCTTGCACAGCATAAGCACATGATCCTGTGTGACCTGGTGGTGGGTCCCCACATCATGCTGGTCCCTCTCCAGGATGTAGAATCTGCCTCAATCAGGGCTGAAGCCTGTACTGCCAGAACCTAGAGCATATTCTGGCAGGGAGAACTGGAAAATGCCTACAGGATACAGCCAAAACCCAGTCTTGAACCCCACTGTGGGCTCTTCCTCACTGCTCCAACTTTCCCAACCCCACCAGACCCAAACTTCTTCCCAACAGGGGTCTTGCAGTGCCATCAATACAACAATGGCCCACACTCCATGCTACCCTGAAATTAGGAACCATCCAGCCCCTTTCCCAAAATGAGGATAGAACACAGACATCTTAAACCCCTACAGCTCATCTACAGAGCTGGGAGTAGAACCCCAGAACTATGGGCAGAAGGAGGGTAAGGGGAGCCCCAGTAGTGCTGGGGTGCAGAGGATCAGCTCTGATTGGGGCGGTGACAACCTGGTCATGATCAGTTATCATAGTCTGCCTTGAACCCAGTAAAATATCTGGGAGGTGTGCAGGAAGTTTTGTTGGCCTGAGAGAGAGGTGGCTCTGGGGCACCTTTGTTGTCACCCAATTGGTGACAGTGGCAGGGGCAGGGACTCCCTCCTGTGCAACTGGTCACTCAAGGCTACAAAAGCCAGCACAAGACTACCATCTCTGCCCCTATGGTGGCTTGAGGACCTGCCTGGTCTGATCCAAGATAGGTGTACTGAGAGCAGAGCTGTGACAGGGGAGAGCCCAGAATGTTGCAGGGTTCCCAGGAGAGCATTTCTGGGTGCTGGGCAGAGCAGGGGTGGGCCCTGAGGGCTGGATAATCCCTTTGCTATCACTGCTACATTGCCTCTTCCCAGTGGAGGGAGCAGGACCTGCTGACTCCTTCCAACAGGGAGCATCTCCCCACCTTTCTGAGTCCACTTGCACATGCCTTCTCCCCAGAATCACACAGTCAAGGTAGGCAAGACTCTGCCCTGGCACTGCCATGGTGCCCTGGCACCATGATTAAAATCCCTCTGGAAATCTGCAAGCCCACTGCTCTCACCCTGGCCATCCAGGCCCTCCTGGCCTGGTGCTGCTGCCCACACCAACCCCAAATACACCCTAATCCCCTTCATGCTCAGACTGCCAATGTCTCCCATTGGGCTGTGCATTTGCTGACTGCCCAGAAAGGTATTTTTAGCACATAAAATTGGACATAAGCAGTTCACTGCTGGGAGCAGAGTGTAGTAAGACTGGGAGTGGGGGGAATGGGAGGAGTGGATGCTGCATTTTGGTTTGAGAAAGATGTGCTCAGAAATGGGGTTTCCATCTCTGGCATCCAAGCAGTTCCACATCTGGCCCAGCCATTCCTGTTCCCAGCTCCAGAACCATCTTCAGCACATCCCACCCTGGTTCTTGGACAGGGAATGTGGCTAAACCCAGGAGGTGCGAATTTTAAGATTTGGGGCAGCATCTCAGGTCAGACTAACTTCCCCCCAAACCCTGCTGCCTAAAGAATCTCTGCACCAAGATCAGAGCTCCTGATCTGTTCTTTCTGCCTTTGTGCTTTATACCCCCTCCCCATCATCTGCTCTCCATCATGGGCGGCATATTGTGCCTGTGGTCATTGTCTCCAGCTGCCCGAGCAGCTCTCTATCTCCTTGACAAACCTTTCACCCTGCACCTCCTTCACTACTCAAGCCTCTCTGCACTGCTCCCATTCAAATGCTATACCCCACACATGTGCTGACCCCAGTCACCATAGTTCTCTTTCCTAGAGAGCTGATGGAGTGTTTGGTGGAGCCTGGAGTCTCTCCTTCTATCCCATTAAACAAAGGGCTTATACTTCCCTTTTTACAGTTCTCAGCCTGTACAGCTTCCAAAGAAAAACAAATCCTGAGAAACCACATATGTCAATCAGGTATCTGGGAAGAGAGAAGTGACTTCAAAAGGAACCATATGAAAAGGGAAGAAAAAGTAAAGCTGTGGTTTCTCCAGTGAAATTAAGCCACTGGCATGGTGGAGGGGATAAGGCGTACCCATCTGGTGGTGTTATTTGGTATTTTGTGGTCTTCACAGTCCCATCATCCTGCCAGGGGCTGCACCAGTGGTGCATTGGAGGAGGCATCACTGCTGCCAGTGGGACCCCAAGCTGGCACAGCTCCTACCTGACCTATCCTGGGATGTCTGTCCATGTCCTGGCTTTGCAGCTACCATTAGTAAAATGCTATACTTCCCTGAAGCAGCTTGCTTCGCACACGGGATACTGGAAAGGTCTTGCATGGGCCTCTGCTCACTCCTTTTCTCAGTGCATGGCCCTGCAGAAGCCCTGGGAGCCTGCAGTCTTCCCCAGCACTCAGGCCCTGACCAAAGCTTGGCCTGGAATAATCCTCCATAGAGGCTGGGCAGGTGGGGACAAGAGGAGAGAAGAGGGCACTGTGTCCTGGTACGTCAATGTGAGTGGTGTGGGTGGCACAGTGCCCAGAGCTTAGAGAGCAGCTGCCCTTTGTTGTACAAGTATGTGCATGAAGCCATGTGTGCTCCAGCCCAAGATCAGTCAAAGGTCAAGATACTGAGCCGACCTACAGCAGCATCACATCAGACCTGGGGGAAAAGGAAAGGTTCTGTCTCATGCCACAACCTCCTGTGGGGAACCCTATGCCACT